TGCCAAACTGGGGGCATCGCAGCGCTCCCATCCCTGGTGCTGGTCTCTGGGGACCCCCCCACCCCAAAAAAGAGGTGCTGGGGGTCACGGCCCCCCCTGAGCCCCCCCCCTTGTCCCCGCAGGGCCCCGCTGGCTTGGAGGGACTGGACGGCAAGGACGGCAAACCGGGGCTGCGGGTGAGGTGCTGGGCTCTGAAGGGTCCTGGGGAGCCCCCTGCGCCCCCCCCCTGGGACATCCCCAATGTTTTTTCTCCCTAGGGTGACCCCGGCCCCCCCGGCCCCCCCGGGATGATGGGCCCCCCGGTGAGTGCTGCCTTTCCCTGTCCCCCTCCCGGTGCCCGGTGGGTGCCCGGTGAGCCGTGCCGGTGCCCCCCCCCCCCGTTGGCTCTGCGCCCCCACCCCAAAATCCTCCCCTCTCCTCCCCCCCCATAGGGCTTTAAGGGCAAACCGGGGCACCCGGGACTCCCCGGACCCAAGGTGGGTGCTGGCACGGGGGGGACCCCCGATGTCCCCGGGGTGGCGGTCACCCCACTATGGGGACAGCCCCGGGGACCTCGGTGCTGGGGGGGGGCGTCCTGGTGCCACCCTGCCCCCCCGCTGTCCCTTTGTCCTTGCAGGGTGACTGCGGCAAACCCGGCCCCCCAGGGAGCACCGGACGGCCGGGGGCCGAGGTGAGGAATTTGGGGAGGGGGGGGGGGGAACACGGGAACCCAGCGTTGGATGGGTCCCGTGCCCCCCACCCCACTCATCCCGCTGCTTTCCGCAGGGAGACCCCGGCCCCATGGGACCCCAAGGCCGGCAGGGACCCCCGGGGCTCATCGTAAGTGGCTCCGACCCAACTGGGAGCACTGGGACGGCGCGGGGGGCGGTGGGGACACGTCCCCGGGGTGGGGGGCATCGCCCCCAGCTGAACCCCCCCTCTGTGTCTCCAGGGACCCCCGGGCAGCCCGGGGCAGCCGGGTCCCGCTGGCCTCGCCGGAGTGGTGAGTACCCATGGGGTGCCCCACGGTGACCCCACAAGGGGCTGGGGGGCACGGGATGGGGCTGGGGGACGTGGTGGCTGCCCCCCCCCCACGGTGGTGGCCGTCCCCATCCCCTGCTGCCCCCTCCCCACACCCGGCTCCATCCCATAGGGCTGAAGGGCGAGCGCGGCTCGGCGGGGGACCGAGGGCTGCCGGGGATGCCGGGACAACCGGGACCACCGGGACACCCCGGCCCACCGGTGAGGGGGGGGGATACAAATTGGGTGGGGGGGGGATCTTGTAGGGCCCATCTCACACCTCCCCAATCCCATTCCCGCAGGGGGAACCGGGGCCGGATGGACCCAGCGGTAAAGAGGTAGGAGAGGAGAGGGGCTGCGCTCCCACGGGACCCCCGGACAGCCCCGCCACCCCCTCCCCTCTGTGTCCCCCCCCCTCAGGGCCCCCCAGGAAAGCCCGGCACCGCAGGCCCTGCTGGCCAGAAGGTGAGGGCAGAGCCCGGCTGTGATGCTGCCGTCACCCTGAGACCCCCGAGACCCCCGTTATGGGGTTGGGGGGGCCCCCATTGACCCCGTCCCTATAGGGTGAAGCCGGATCCCCCGGAGAGCGGGGGTACCCCGGGGAGAAGGGCAGAGCCGGCGCCCCGGGGGGCCGGGGAAACAAAAAAAGAGGCAAAAAAAAGAGAAAATGCGAAAAATAAAGGGGCGGGGACAGCCCCTCCAGCACCTCCCCGAGCTGCTGGGGTGTGGCTGGGATTTGGGAACGGGGTGGGCAGGGGAATGGGGACGGGGTGGGGTTGGGGATGGGATGGATATGGGGACAGGATGCATATGGGGATGGATATGGGGATGGGATAGGGTTGGGGACAGGATGGATATGGGGACATATCCATCGGGACATATCCGGGATGGATATTGGGATAGGGTTGGGGTGGATGTGGACAGGGGGTGGATATGGGGACAGGATGGATGTGGGGATGGATATGGGGATGGGATGGGGTGGATGGGGGTATGGGATGGATGTAGGGACGGGATGGACGTGGATGGGGGCATGGCACGGACAAGGACATGGGGCTGGGATGGCCGTGGGGATGGGGACGGTGGGGCTGGGATGGATGTGATTATGGGATGGATGTGGGGCTGGGATGGACGAGGACATGGGGCCAGGGTGGGGATGGGGCTGGGATGCCCATGGGGACAGCCACACGCATGGGCTGACCCCAGACCCATGTGCGGGCACCATCCCAGCCCCAGCACACGACCTCTGACCATCCCCAACCTCACTTTTGAGTCTTTAACCACTGGGACCCCCCAAAAAAAACCCAACACCCCCCCTGCAGCCCCTCACCCTCTCCCCCCACGCATCCAGCCCCCAATCCCTGGGGCCCCGCAGCTCCTGCAGCCCGCGGCCGAGGTCACGGCGTGCCAACAAAACAGGAAAACGGCCGGACAAAGCCGCCCTTATCAGGCCCCCGCAGCCCTTATCAGGCCCCCGCAGCCCTTCCAGGTGCTGCCCCCCCCCTTTCCCCAAACCCTGACCCCCCCCTCCCCATCCCCAACCCCACAAGCTCGCACCCTTTGGGGCCACACGCCCGCCGGGAGGCTTCCAGGAGTTTATTTACAAATATTAAAAAGCAAAATAAATACAAAAAAAAAAAATAAAACAACAAAAAAAATGGTTTAAAAGTACAGCCCAGCATGGGGGGGGGAAGGAAAAATGGGGGGGGGGGCTGTGAGGCTGCTCTGGACCCAGCTGCGGCCCCATGGGGACACTTGGGGGGGGTCCCCAGGGCCACGTCCCTGCACAAAAAGCCCTTAGCACCATTGGGACGAGGCGGGGGGGGGCACAGGGACCCCCCCCCCCACCAGGGACCCCCCCCACCCTTGGGTGCCAGCAGCACCCAGCCCTGGGGGGGGCCTCCTCCAGCCCTGGGGGGCACGGAGGAACCCCCCCCGACTGCGTGGTGCTGTGCTACCCCCCCCAAAAAGGGGCATGGGGAATTAGGAGGGGGGAATAAGGGACAATATTTTGGAGGGGGGGTCCCACTGCAGCCCCCCCCCCTGCAGATAACGGGGCTGGGAGAGGGCTGGGGCAGGGGGGGGGGGCCGCCTTTGGAGAGCCCCCAGCTGCCAACAAAGAGCCCGCCGAGCCTGGAGGGGGGGGGGATTAACGGGTAAATCCCACAGGCAGCGGGGTGCCCCCCCCCCGGCCTCATTCCCCCCCCCTCACCCCATGCACGCCCCGATGCACCCGGCTGCTGCGTCAGCACCCGGGGCGCTGGGGTCACGGGGGGGGGGGGCATGACCCCGGCTGACCCCAGCTGGGGAGGGTCTGGGGGGGGGGTGGTCAAGGCCGTCTCGGAGGGGGGGTCATGGGGAGGGGGGGGCTCATTTGTGGGGCATGTCCTCCACCCCGACGCGCCCCCAGACGCCCAGCACGAAGCTCTCCACCTCGCACTCGTTGACGCCGCGGGCGATGCGGAAGCGCCCGTCCTCGCCCCACGCCCTGCCCCACGAGTTGGCTGCCGTCTGGGGGGGGGACACGGCCTCAGCTCAGTGCTTGGACCCCCCCCCAGGACCCCCAAGCGATGCACAAGGCCTGTGCCCCCCCCAAAAAAAATACTCACCCAGTATTTTAGGGTCTGGCCGTCGGGCAGCTGCTCCTCGCCCCACCTGCAGCGGGAGCGCAGGGGGTGAGCGGGGACCCCCCCCCCCGGCTCCATTTTTTGGGGGTATGGGGGGGGGTGCACCTATTTTTGCCCCCCCACCCACCCCGTGCTGTGATCCTGGGGGGGTCTGTGAACCCCCTCTCATTTCCCAAGGGTTGGGATGGGGGCAAGGGGAGCGCGGCCCCCACCCTGATCCTGCCCCCGGTGCGCAGCGCCGTGCGCTCGGGGTCCCTGTTGGCACCGGCACCGGCTCCAGCCCCAAACCAGCACCAGCACCACCAGCACCACCACCTCCAGTTCCAGCCCCCCCCCCACCCATTTTCCCAGCCCCCCCCGAGCCCCCCCAAGCCCCTACCCGGTGATTTTGACCGAGTGCGTCCCGTGCCGCTGGTGCTTCGGCCCCTTGCGCTCGGCTACGGGGGTGTGCCGGTAAATCCCGCTGCGGTACAGGAAGAAATCCTCGTGCACCTCCAGGATGGCTGCGGGCAGGAGCAGAGAGTTGGGGAGGGCTGGGGGGGGTTGGGGGGGACACACAGGCACCGAGCAGCCGGAGCTCAGCACCCCCCCCCGCCCCCCAGGAGCAGGAGGAGGGCAGGGGACCGCAGCTGTGCCAAGGCTCGGCCAGGGGAGGGGATTAAAAAACAATCAAATCAAGGAGGTTAATGAGCAGGGGGGGCAGTGTGATGGTGCTCAGCAGCCAACCTGGGGGGGGGGGCACAGCCCCACGGCTGGTCCTGAGCTGTCCCAAATCCATTCCCTTGTGTGGCTGACCCCCCAAATTTAGGGCTCAGTGCCCCCGGCAGCTCCTCACCTTGCACGGGGCCGTTCTCCATCAGCTCCTTCATGATCTCCTTCTCCTGCAAGCACGGAGCCGCCTGGCACCGGGGGGGGCACGGCTGCCCCCCAGGGAAGAGCCCCCCCAGCCTCTGACCTCCCCAGCACCCCAGGGGGCACCCAGGGGCACCCAGCAGGGTGACCCCAAACCCCCTTGGAGATACCCCAAATCCCACCCGGGTACCACAGGGTACCCCCGCCCTCCCTGGGGGGGAGGTTGCAGCGGGCGTTCCCCCATTTCCCTCCCCTGCTGCCCCCCCCCCCAGCCCCGGGTCCCATGGGTGCTCACGCTGGAGGCGAGGCGGTAGGGGGGGGTGGACTGGTAGATGTGGTTGGCGTGGGTCTGGGGGTTGGGGCAGCGCGCCGTGGCCTGCCGCTTGCCCCGTCCCGTGGAGCGGCTGTGCATCATGCAGGGGGGGGCGGCCGGCCGGCTGTCGGGGCTGGTGAAGGGGTAGCACTCATCTGTCACCACCCTGAGAGAGGGGAGAGGGCGTGAGGAGGAGGAGGACCTGGCCCTGTCCTGTCCCATCCCATCCCCATCCCCATTCCCATTCCCATCCCATCCCATCATGCCCATCCCCATCCCCATCCCTATCCCCATCCCATTGTGCCCATCCCATCCCAATCCCATATCCCCATCCCATCCCATCGTGCCCATCCCAATCCCATCCCATTGTGCCCATCCCATTGTGCCTATCCCATCCCATCCAAATCCCATATCCCAATCCCATCCCACATCCCCATCCCAATCCCATATCCCTATCCCATATCCCCATCCCCATCCCATATCCTCATCCCATCCCATTGTGCCTATCCCATCCCATCCATCCTATCCCATATCCCCATCCCATCCCATTGTGCCCATCCCATCCCAATCCCATATCCCCATCCCATCCCATATCCTCATCCCATCCCAACCCAACCCATCCCATCAGATCCCATCCCATTTTGCCCATCCCATCCCAATCCCATATCCCCATCCACATCCCATATCCTCATCCCATCCCATCCCATTGTGCTTATCCCATCCCACCCCACCCCATCCCCTCCCCAGCAGGGCTGGCAGCCCCCCGCCCCCCACCCACCCCAATCCCCACTCACCCCCTCCTGCGCAGGTACCACCAGGCCCCGTCCAGCCGCCCCCCGCTGCAGCCCCGCTGGTTGCGGGTGTCGCAGGAGAGGAGGTTTTGGGGTGACAGGGACGGCGTCATGTGCCCCATGGAGTGGATGGAGATGCGGTCGGAGGCGACGGCTGGGGGCGAGCATGGGGGGGGGTCGGGGCTGGGGGCAGCTCCCCGGGGTCCTGCCCTGCTCCCACCTCCATGGGTTTGGGCTCCAGTCCCCCCAGTCCCTGCTCCCAGAGACCACCCCGACCCATCCCATCCCATCCCATTGTGCCCATCCCATCCTTTCCCATTGTGCCCATCCCATCGTGCCCATCCCATCCCATTCCATCCTATTGTGCCCATCCCATCCCATTGTGCCCATCCCATCCCATTGTGCCCATCCCATCGTTTCCCATTGTGCCCATCCCATCCCATCCTATCCTATCCCATTGTGCCCATCCCATTCCCATTGTGCCCATCCCATTGTGCCCGTCCCATTGTGCCCATCCCATCCAGTCCCATCCCATCCAGTCCCATCCCATCCCATCCGATTGTGCCCATCCCATCCCATCCTATTGTGCCCATCCAATCCCATTCCATCCCATCCCATTGTGCCCATCCTATCCCATTCCATCCCATCCCATCCTATTGTGCCCATCCAATCCCATTCCATCCCATCCCATCCCATTGTGCCCATCCTATCCCATTCCATCCCATCCCATTCCATCCGATTGTGCTCATCCCATCCCATTGTGCCCATCCCATTGTGCCCAACCCATCCCATTCCATCCCATTCCATCCGATTGTGCCCATCCCATTGTGCCCATCCCATTCCCACCGTGCCCACCCCACCCCATCCCATCGCCCCTCACCAGCCGTGGAGAACGCCCAGGATCCGGCGCAGTTGCCCTGGTCCAGGGGCTCGTGGATCATCCCCGGCCACTTGGTGGCTGCGTCAAAGTGGGGGGGCAGCACCTCGTTGGAGTCCATGGGCACCTGCGGAGGCGGGGGGGGGGGGTGCTCAAGGCACGGGGACCCCCCCCCCCCAAACACACCCCTTCCATTGCAACCCCCAGCCCCACTGCAGACATAATGGGGTCGGACCCCTTGGGTTGGTGACCCCCCCAGCCCCTGATCAATTATAACCAGGATACAAGTGCCCCCCCCCCCCGAGGACCCAGCTCCTTTCCTAAATTTGGGCTCAGCTGTGCCAGCCCCCAGCATCTGGCCTCGGGTGCCAGCGGGGGCTCAGGGGGGGGCCCCCTCCTTGTGGCCCCTGTCCGGCGCTGCCCTCCCTGACCCCCGCGGCTGACTCACGCCCGGCGTTTCCTTTTCGGGGGGGGACACACACAGGACGGTGCCCCCGCCCCGGCCACGCACAGCTCAGCCTTCCTGGGGAGGCTGCGGCACCCAGCTCAGCCCAGCCCAGTGCAGGAAACGCTAAAATTAAACCTCGGGGGGGGTCAAGGCCACGGCGCTGGGTGTGCGCCGCGTGCTTGGCTCGCTCCTGGGGGGCTTCCCAGCCTCGGGGGGGGGGGTCCCGGTTCGTGGCATGGCAGGGGCAGAGCCCCCCCGGTGCCAGCAAGGCCACCCCCCTGGGATGCTCCGTGCTGCTCCCCACAGCTCCCAATTTAATGGTTGAGTGGGACCCCCCTGGGGACCCCGTCTGCTGCCCACCCCCCTCATTTCCCCCAGGGGCTGCTTTCGGCTGCAGCTCGGGGGGGCACCGAACCCCCCCCCACCCCCCCCCAGGCTGTGCCGACTCAGCAGCCTCGGGGCCGGCTTTCCGATGGGAACGCAGCGAGGAGCAGCGGGGCAAAAACAACAGCGGCGCGGGGGAATGTGCTGAGCTGCCGTCTCCAAACAGCCCCCCCCCGGCTCCCCCCACACCCCCCCCCCCCCCACGGCCCCTTCCCCGCCTCCACGCCGGGTGCCGAGCCCCTCGTGGGGACGGGGACCCTGCGGGGATGCTTTCGGCGAGGGGCTGCGTGCCTCAGTTTCCCCATGGGGTTGTTTTTTTTTGGGGAAGGGGGGAAACGGGGGGGGGGGGCGCAGGGCTCACGTGCATCTCGTTCATGTTCATGACGGTGGGCGGCGGGCGGAAGGTGCCCAGGCGGTAGCGGATCCCCTCCTCCAGCGTCATCCCCCAAAATTGGCTGTAGTTGCCGGCCCTCCAGCTGCAGGGGAGCGACGTTAGGGGCACCCCAAAAGCACCGAGGGGGGGGCACCCCCGTCCCCATCCCCGTCCCCATCTGGGACCGTTCTGCCCCCTTACCCGTAGTTGCCCCCGTTGATGGCATCGATCAGGTCCCCGTCCACGAGGCAGGCGTTGTCCTCGCACTGCCACTGCCCGCCGGGGCTGCAGGTGCTGGGGGGGGGCAGCACGGTCAGTTTGGGGGGGGCAGCACCCCATGGACCCCCAAACTGGGGGTCCCCACGTTGGGGCTGCCCCCACTTAGCTGGGGACCCATGGACACCGAGGGCAGGGGGCTGCTGCTGCTGTTGGGGGGGGTTGGTGGCTGTGCCCCCCCCCAAACATTGACCCTCCCCGGTCCCCGCAGTCCCCCCCCCAGGGTATGGGATGGAAAATCAGCCAAAAACCCTCAAGAGCTGCAAACAGCAGAGCGGGGCTTGGACACCAGCCCAGGGAGGGGGACTCGGGGCCGGCAGCACCAGGGGGGACCCGGGGAAGGGGTGGCGGGGGCCGTGTCCCCACGGGGAGCCCCCGGCGGTGCTTCCCCCCCCCCCGGCGTGGCCAGCAATGCTCGGCATCCCTCCCGGCCGGCACAGCTCCCGGCAACTCTTCCCTTTTAAGGAGCCTGGCTGCAGCCCCAACAGACCCGCTCCTTGCTCCTTGCGCCCCGACGGTGGCACCGTCCCCGTTCCCATCCCATCCCTGTCCCCATTCCCGTCCCCATTCCAGTCCCTGTCCCCGTTCCCATCCCATTCCCCATCCCTGTCCCCATTCCCGTCCCCAGGCAGCCACCCAGCTCCCACCACAACCCGGCCCCCACGTCCCCATACAGGGGGTAAATCCCTCAGCAAAGCCAGGCTCGGAGCAGGGGGTGCGAATCCCCCCCCGGTTTCTGCCCCACGCAGCCCCCTCCAAGTGCTGGGAGGCAGTGGGAGAAGCCCCCGGGATGCACGCCCTGGGGACGGGTGTTGGGAGCCCCTCGGGGGCAGATTTGGGGTGCAGCCGGGCACCCTCAGCAGCTCCCTGTGCCCCAGCCCCGTCTGTGTCTCCCAGGCTTTGAATTTTTTCTCCTAATTGCCCCGGCCCTGCCGGAGCCAGGCAAGGACCGGGTCAGAGCGCAGCACTGCAGGAATTGCTCTCCGTGTTCCAAGTGCGGGGGAAGAAAATTTTGGCAGAGGAGCCGCAGCCCCCGGGGGCCGGCTGGGCAGGGAAAGTTCCCGGCACAGGGACCAGTTCCCTGAGCACAGGGCTCAGGGGGGAGCTTGACCTTCCCTGGGGAGCTCGGGAACGGCGCCCAGCCCCACGTGCCTCCACGCCACGGTCCTGAAAAAGTCCCGGGTGGCTTCGGGGAGGGCTCGGCTCAGCCCATGCCCTCCTGCACGGCTGCGCGGGGCGGGCTGGCCTCTCACCTCCAGCCCCTGCTCGGGCACGCAGGCGCGCCGGCACGCACGTGCAAGCACCCACGGGCACGCAGCCGCGCGCTCCAGCCCCAGCCGGAGCCTTTGATTCCCCCCCTTATCGGCCGCATCGCGCCGAGCCAGCCCGCCCAGGTATGTTTGCTCCTCGTCTCGGGGCAGATCTGCGCCCGCAGGTTCCTCGTTCCCCAGCTCCGGGATGCCAGCAATTCCTCCGCAGCCGCTTTCCAGATAAACCCCACGCCGCCCGCCAGCACAAACAGCGAGCTCCCGGCACGCAGCGGAGCAGGACGGGGCCGGACCCCGACCCGCAGCAGGCTCGGGCAAGCTGGGCCAGGAGCGGAGAAGCCCCGGCAGCCTCAACCCACATCTGCGAGGCCGCACGCTGCCCCACGAGCGAGCGGCTCCCACCGAGGCGTGCGCTGAAATTTGGGAGCAGCCCAAAGCCCCGGGCTCTGCGCTCCGAATGCGCCAGGGCGAAGGCGTTTGGCACCGGCCCCCGCCACCCAGCGCGGCCCCGCGCGCCCCAACCGGCTGCGGGCAGCCCCTGCCGGCCTCGTCCCGGTGCTGAGCCGGTGCTGCCGGTGCTGGCACGGCCCTTGGGGCACTCACCACAGGTTGCAGTTCTCCCGGTACGTGGCCCCGCTGGGGTAGGTGCGGCCGGCACGGGCGCAGCCTGGGTGGGAGAGAGGAGAGCCCGGGTGAGCGCACGGCTGTGGAGGGTCCTGCTGGGCACCCCCAAAAAAAAACACCAAAGGGAAATGAAACAGAAATCCTAAAGGTGCTGAGCAGCCACGGAGCTGTGCGCCCAACCAGCACGGGGATGGGGAGCAGGATTTGGGCAGAGAGGCTCAGCACCAGGAGGGTTAAGCCTGGGGCTGCCCGGCACAGCCGGCCTCGCACGCACAGCCTGGCGGGGCCGGGATAAAGGGGCCACTGATCCCCGGAGCTGGCTCTGCTCCGCGGGGACTTGAGAGGGAGCCTTGTGCTGCGCGGCGGGGGCAGTCCCGGCTCGCCCCCACATGCCACGGCTGCCACCCGGGTGAAGTCAGGACCGTGCCCCAGACATGACTGGGGCACCCCGGCACCATCCGGCCCGGCTCTGCCCGCAGGTGCGCACCCCAGCGCTGCCCCCCCCCCTGCATTCCTGCCCCATGGAGAGCTGCACAAATCGGGCTGGGGGCTGCTCCAGCCCCTTTGCTGGGACCCCAGCCCCAGCCCACCCAGTTTGCACTGGGTTTCCAGAGCTCTGTGGGATCCAGCACGACTCCGTGGTCATCGCAGTGCTACCCAACACATCGGGCACCCGTGCCAACCCCACCATGAGGGGGGTGGATTTGGGGAGGGGCCCCTCACCTTGAACTTTGGGAAATGGGGCCGGGATGCCCAGGCAGTACTCCCAGAAATCCGGGCAGCAGTCGGAGACGGTGCGGTTGCAGAAGAGGTCGCAGTAGCAGATGGTGTCCAGGTAGGGCACGGTGCAGCCGTCGTCCCGGCCGTGGCAGCAGACGTCCCCTCGTTGGCAGTAGGAGCCGCCGGCATCGTAGACGCCGTGCTCGTACAAGCCGGGGGCCAGCTCCCGTCGCGTGCGTGCCCGGGCAGCCCCGGCCGCCCCCGCCAGCAGCCAGAGGCAGAGCAGGGCCCAGGGCAGGCGCATGGTGCCCGCGATGTCCCCAACCTGCAGCCGCTGCGGGGACGGGGCGGTGAGAGGGGACCGACCCCAGCCCCTGCGCCAATGCCCTTCGGGGGAGCTGCTCCCAGCAGGTGGGAGCTGGGGGGGTAATGGGGGGCGATGGGGGGGCATTTTGGGGGTGCTCTGTCCCTACCCAAGGTGGCTGTGCCCCTGCTGGTGTGCGTGATCCCCAAACCTTCTCCTTTTCCAGCTCCCCCCCGACCTCCAAGCAGCTCCGTAGCGGGGGTCCCGGCTCCCAGCCCCGTGCCCCCGCCCCGACGGCCCCCACATCGCCTCCCTCCGGGGTGCTGCGCCCCACGCAGACCCTAAAACCCATCCTCCAGGAGCAGAACCCCCACGGGACGGGGGATCCCCGGGGTTGGGGACACAGCCCCGTGCCCCCTCCGCCCCAAACCCAGCCGGGGCGCGGCTGTGCCGGCACGGGGGGGGGGGGGACCCAGGGGCGCCCCCGGCTGCGGGCGCTGCGCTGAGTTCCCCGGGCTCAGCCCGCGGCTGCCGGGAGCCCTCGGGGAGAGGGAGCGGGTCCCGGTGCGGGGGGGTCCCGGGGCACGACCCCCGCTGCCCCCCAGCCTCCTACCTGCCGCCCCGCCGTGCGCTCCGCTCCGCGCCTCCGCCGCCTCCGCCGCCGAGCGCCTCCCCCGGCCCCGCCGCTCCCTTATAGCCGCGCCCCGGGGGGGGGCGGGGGGGGGGCCGGGAAAGTGCCGGGGGGCAGCCGCGATCGTGGCCGGACCGGGATAGGCCTGGGGGGGGCGCAGGGGGGGCGGTGGTGGCCGCGCTGCGCTGTCCCAGCCCGGGCGCAATGGGGTTGGTGTCGGTGGTCCCAGCGCCCCGGTGTCCCCTGCCCCTTACGGGTGGGGGACCAAGCTGGGTGGGGTGGGGGGGTACTGGGGGGCCTGTGGGGGTCGTGTAGAGGGAGGTGGTGAGGGTAAAGGTGGTCCCGAGGGAGCTCCGAGCCCCCTGCCCTGTCCTTCCCAGGCTGGGGGTCCCCAGCACACCACGCTCCGGCACGGGGCTCCCCGCGGCCTGGGGAGGGTGTGGGGGGTGCAGAGGGGTGCAGGTGCCCCCCCTCACCCAGCAGCCCGGCTGCTGCATGTGTGTGAGCCCGGGATGTCCCACAGCACCAGGGCATGCAGCCAGTGTCACTTGGTGCCAGCACCACGTCCCCACTGCCAGGACCCCCGGCCGGAGGGGGAGAGGGGCCGTGCACCCCCAGGGCTTGCCCACCCCATGGCTCCTGTCCCCCCCCACGGGATTTTTGGCAGCCTCAGGGCTCGCCGCCTGGCTCTGGCCCCCAGGAGCATCCCCAGGCCGCTGCCAAAGGATTCCTCGAAGATGCTTCCCAGCAGCCAGGACGGAGGCACGGCGAGCAGCAGGAGGCCAGCCGGGTCCCCAGGCCCAGCTCCTGCCACGGGGGGAGGCTGTGGTGGCTCGGGGGGGTGCTGAGAGCCTGGGGCACCCCAGCCCGGTGGGCACAACACCAGGGGGGTGTTGGGGTGCTCGGGGCAGCCACAGGAGGGTCCTGAAAGAGCCCCCCCTGTGCTGGGATCCCGCCGGGTGCCTGGCTGCTGCTCTCAGATGTGGATTTTCCTGCGAGCGCGGCCTTGGGCAGAGCGAGGCCACGGCTTGGGGCCAGGCTGAGCGCTGCTGAGAGCCTCAGGAAGGAACTGGGTCCGGCCCGGAGCCCGGCTGTCTCCTTTCCGTGACTGGGCGGACAGGAATCCAGAGTGAGTCACGAATTCTCCAAGACCCCGGGGGACAAAGCAGAGCCACAGGCGTGAAGGACACCCCCGGTCCCGGTCCCGTTCCCGTCCCCGGTCCGTCCTTGTGCCAGGCAGTGCCCTGGCACCGGCTGAAGGCGAGGATGCAGCGAGCTGCGGGGCGCTGCCAGGCACAGAGCTGGCCCCCTCCTGTTCCCTACAGCAGCCCCTGACCCCCCCCCAAAGGGATTGGGGCTCGTGTGCGGGGCCAGCAGCGCTCACCCCCTTCCTGCGGGCGTGCTTGGCTTGGCTCTTGGCGTGCCGACCTGGCTCCTGGCGGGACGCGGGGTCACGGCTCGCTGCGTCCCTCCAACACAGGCATTTCCCCCCCCAGCCCTGCGTTTCCCCTCTCCCTGCCTCGTGCACACGCAGCGGGGGGGGGGCCAAGGTGGAGCAGGGACAAAGTCCAGCCTTGGGCACCTTGGGCTCACGTGGGTGAGGGAGGCAGCGGGCTGGCAGCGCGCCCGGCCCTGCCACCACCTCCTGCGGCTGCTCTGGGCAGGGACAAGGTCCCCTCGTGCCTTGGGGACACGGGGCCGAGCTCGGGGGCTGCAGACGTGGCCCAGAGCCCAGCCCAAATTTGCTGGGAGCAGCAGGGGCTCACCCAAGCTGCGTCCAACACACGGCGCTGCTGTCCCCAAACCCCCCGCGGCGATGCGGGGCCATGGGTAGGGCGCAGACCCCACTGTAGGCACGATGCACGACCCCAAACCCACCCCGGAAAGTGGTGCCAGCAGCTGTGGAAGCAGGGCAGGGGCTGTTCCTGCTCGCCCCGTCCTGGCAAACCCTTCAAAGCCTCTGCTTCAAAGCAGCCCCGGGCGCACGGCAGCCGGACGTGCGCAGCCGAGGGCTCCCTGGGGATCGCGCCCCGCACGCCAGGAGCTTGGGGGGGACGTCCCCAGACCCCATCCCAGCAGAGATCCCACGGATTGGGGCCTGCTCCGGGGGTCTGGGGGGAACAGGAGAGGGGGTTCTGCAGCTGGGGTGGTGGTGGGGGCTGACCCCACGGCGCAGCCCCCACCCCAGGATGAGCCTGGGATGGGATTTTTGGCAAAAGGCAGCCAGGAAACGCAGGGAAGGAGCGGCTGAGAGCCCGGCTTCCTCCTGGGGAAGGGCAGTGCGGGAAGGGGCCTTGCCCTCCCCATGACACCGGCAGCCTGGGGGACACGGCCACGGGGCTGGGGTGAAGGTTTTGCCACCCCCTGGGGGGGCTGCAGGTTTTTGGGGAGGGGGCTCGCACCCGCACCTTGTCCTGGATGTGCCCAGGGCCATCCGAGCACGGTGCCCAATTGGGGACACATCATTTGGGGACGCATAACTTTGGGGACACACAGATTTGGGGACGCACCTTTTGGGGACGCATCGTTTGGGGATATAGAAATTTGGGAACACAGAAATTTGGGGACACCCCTTTTGGGAACACCCTTCCAACAACAGCAGCGTGGGTCCCTCTGCAGTGCCATCAGGCAGCTCGGGGCTGGGGAGGGGCGGGCTGGAAGTGAGCCCAGCACAGGGGGGGGGGGGACACCAGCGGCCACCCGGTGCTGCTCGGTCACAGGGCTGGAGTGCCACCTCTAGGGACAGCAGAAACCAGGCGGGCAGGCGGCGTCTGCTTCAAATTTTAATGAAAGAAATAAGTTAATAAGTTAATAAAGTGAGGTAACTACCGCCGGCTGGGGAGGTCTGCGGGAACCAGCCAGCTCCTGGGGGGGGGGGGGGTCCTACATGGGGTGGCTGCTGAGCGTGGCTGGGGGCGAAGCTGTCGCATGCGCCCTCGCCCCAGGGGACACCCACAGCCCCCCCCTGCCCACCAGGCACCCATGGGTGGGCGGAAAGGGAGAGGGGGGGTGCAGCAGCAGCAGCACGGGGGGGCTGCAAGCTCGGCCCTTGCTGGCCACATGCACTAATGAGGCTAACGAGCAAGCTCGGGGCAACCCCAGTGTCCCCCCCCCCCATTTTACTGGGAGCAGAAGCATCCCGGGGGGGCTGGGGAGGGGGTGGAAATCCCACAGCCTGAGGTCCCAAAAGCCCCCCCTCCCCGCCACGGGGAGCACCGGGGGCACCAGCCCCGGCTCTGCAAATTTTGGCACTACCACGGTCACCCCCAGCCCTGCGGGGCTGGAAACCAAGCAGCGTGCAAAGTGGGGGGGGGAATGACACAGGGACACCCCCCCCCCCCCCCCCAAAAAAAAAGGTTTGCCACCCAGCCCTGAGTCCTCAGGACCCCCCCTTGGGGAGCAGGATCCAGCCCTGTGCGCTGTCGGGGGGGGGGGGTTGCTTATTGCCTACCATGGCCCCCCCGGGGTTGCTGTCCCCGGGGGGGGGCGTTGCATATTCAGACGTTATTGCATATAGAATATAAATAAATATAAATATGGAGATCTCCTACCTACGTGTTGCCCTGGGAGCATGCACGGGGGGGGGTCAGGGTCAGCCCCCTGCCCCCCTGCCCCACACCGCAGCGAGGGGCTGGAGCCTTGCATAGCTTTTGGTGGCCCTGGGGGCGAGCGGGTGGCACCGGGGCAGGACCCTACTTGGGGGGGGGGGGGGCACGAACACTTGCCCTGGCTCTGGGGGCTTCCACACCCCCCTGGGGGGCTCCTCCTACCCCCCGCAGCACCGTCAGATCCTGCCTGCACCCCATCCTTCTCCCACCGTGCGCCCTTGCGCACCGTAAATCCCAAGCACCGCGGTGCCGGACACGGCCCCATGGGGCTGGGCGATGCCGGGGGGGCTCCAGCACCCCTTATACCCTACCCTGCGCCCCCCCCGTGGGCTGTCGGGGTCCGTCCCCGCTGCCCTCAGTCCATGTTGGCGCTGGCCGAGCGGGAGCTGCTGAGGGTCTGGGCGGAGGCCGAGATGTCCTCGTGCTCCACGGGGCTGTGGTAGTCGGAGGTGCTTTCGGGCTCGCCGGGGGGCACCCGCACGGCCCCCAGGCTGAAGGAGTTGGTGCAGCCCTTGCGCAGGCACTGCGAGTAGAGGCCGAGCAGCACGTCCAGCTTGTGCTCGATCGACTGCACCTGCGGGCGGGCAGCGCTCAGCGGACCCCCAGGAGACCCCCAGGAGACCCCCAGGGGACCCCCAGGGGACCCCCAGGGGACCCTTGGGGATGGGGACGTGCCCGCCGGTGGCCGTCCCCTCCTCACCTGCCTCTCCACCTTGGCCACGCGCCCCATCATGCTCAACTCATCCACCAGCTCCGGCTCGGGCGCCGCTTTCTCCCCTTTCTCCCGCGTCTTCTTGTCCGCAGCGGGGCCCCCCCTGCCCACGATCTGGTCCACGCTGTCCCCAGGGGACACACGAGGCCGTGAGGGACGGGCACGGCTCACGGGGACGCGTCCTGTGCGTCACGACGGGTGGGCACGGCTCGTGGGGACGGGGACGGGGGGGGTCCTGCGGGAACCCGGAGCCCCCCTGCCCACCCCCAGGGGTCCCAGCTCACCGCGTCTGCAGGCTCTTGATCCTGCCCAGCATGTCCAGGTGCCCGGCTGAGTACTGCTCGATGACATCCTTCACGTCGTAGGGCCGCAGGGTCTCCTTGAATTTCCTCTTGGCCACCAGGAACTTCAGGATCCTGCGGGGACAGTGGGGTGGCTGCGGGCACCGGGGTGGGGTGGGGGGGGCAGAACCCCCAGCCCCTATGGGATACGGCTCGTCCGGAGATGTCTGCTCATCCCAAACGCCATTTTGGGGTCAGAAGGGGCAATATAGGGGACATGGGCTCACCGCACAGCCCTGATGAGGGTCTTCACCGCCGGCAGGATGTCCTCGAAGGCCAGCTCGCAGGGGGGGCTCTTCTCCTCGCCGCTGTCCTCCGGGGGGCAGTCGGCTGCAGGCACGAGAGCAGCACATTGGCAGAGCTCAGGGACCCCCCCCCATAGTGGGGCCCCCCCAAACCCGCTCCCGGGGCTCACCCTCAACCGGGGGCCGCGGCTTGAGCCGCAGGGAGGCTCGGAAGCGCGTGCGGTCGTTGAAGCTCCAGCTCTTGTGCACCTTGCTGGGGCTCGAGGCCTCGGGGGGGTCCTCGGGGCTGGGGGAGCGCTGCAGGGGGGGCCCCAGGTGCTGTCGCCCCCGGCCGCCGGGGGGGCCCAGGCGGATGCGGTCCCTGATGCCCATCTTGGTGCTGCGGGGCAGAGGATGGCAGCGTCAAGGTGGGGAGGGGGGGACATAGAGGGGGGGGGAGGACGGGGCTGCAGAGCCCCCCCGAACACAAATTGGGCACGAGCTGGGGTGCAGGCGTCACCGCATGCCCGTGCAGGAGGTGTCTGAACCCCTTTTTATTTCTGAAAGCAGAGAAAGGAGGAGACAGACGGACAGGGGACAGACGGGCACGGGGGGGGGACACGCAGCAGAGCAGCCCCCAGCCCCACACGGAGCAGCCCCGCTCCTGCCCCAGCTCGGCTGGCACGGGGGGGGTCTGGGGAACCCAGCCAGGCCCCCCCATCCTCCTCCTCCTCTTCTTCATCCTCCTCCTCCAGCACCCAGCTCCCTGCTCTGCTCCCGCAGGCTGAGCGCAGCCGCCCCCCTGCAGCCCCAACGCGAGCTCTGCTGGCTTGGGGGGGGGGACAACAGACATGATTTATGTAGGACCTACACAAACACACCGCCTGGTGCCACGAGGGACCGCAAGCACGCTTTGGCACATGCCAGGAGGCCGAGCAGAAAGGGGCCCAGCTCCACCCCGCTGCGGAGCGAGCCGGAGCTGCAGAGGGGGCCCCAGCAAAGCGGGGTGTGGGGAGACCCCCGCCCGCTGCACCGGGGGCTCCGGGAGACCTGGGCACCCCCCTTGACTTCCCCAGCTGGGGGCACCGGGCTCCTGCCTTCATCCGGGCCATCAGACACCAAAACCCAGCACGGCTCAGCCGTGCCACGGATGGAGAAACCGCGGCACGGCCACCACGGGTACGGGACCCGGGGGGGAGCCAGCCCCAAACCCAAGCCATGCAGCCCCCCAGGACGACCCCGCAGGCAGCCCCGCATGGATCCCATGCACCCGGCGGCTCCTGGCCCCCGGTACCTCCGTCTCCACGTGGCCCACGTCCTCGGCTTACCACTCCCCAGCTGCCTGGGGTCGGGGCAGGCACGGGAGGAAAAACAGCGTTAGGGGGGTGGCCGGCACGGCTGAGAGCCCCCCCGACCCCACACACCCCGCTCCTGCTGCGAGGAGCTGAGCTGTTTGTGTAGGTCCTGCATAAACACCAGCGTCTGCCCCGCAGGGGGAAGCCCCAAAACTCCGTAAAAAAGCAGGGGGGGGGCCACGGGAACGATCCTGCGCCCTGGTTCCTCGTGGGGTCCCCCCCCTGTGCCCGCTGGCCGGGGCGGGCGGCTCGGGGGCGCACGATTACCTGAGGCTCAAGCACTTGTGGGGCCGCGCGTCCTCCTCCTGCCAGCTTCGGGGTGAGTGGGGGGGGGGGGCAGAAAAGATTTGGGGAGGGGGTGAGGGGATGGTGAGGAGGGGGGGGGAGGAGAGAGACAAGGGGAGATGTTATGAGAGGCGATGCTCGCGGAGATGGGGCCGGGGAGATGGGTGCAGACACCGGTGCTGCCGCAGGAGGAGCCCCCCCGAGCCCGTACTCACCTCGGGACCCCCCGCAGGGGGGAAACTGAGGCACGGGGCCGTGGTGGAGCAGAGCCCCCTCTCCCTACCTAACCCTGCTGCCAGCACCGATCCCTGGGGCCAGGCTCGGTGGCTCTTCAGCCTTCGGAGCTCGGGACCCCCCTGGCACCGTCCCGGCACCGCGGCGTTGCCAAAGCGTCCATCCAAAGGGGCAAAAATTGGCACAGGGGGGGGGCCCCGCATGGCTCTGCCGGGACAGAGGGGCCGGGGGCTGCTCCGCCAAGGTGCCGGGGGTGGCAGCACGGGGGGGACACAGAGGAGAGGGCAGAGACACGGAGCTGTGGGGGGGGGCTCCCTACCTTTCCCCCGAGCAAGTCGCGGGGATGGCGCTTTTCTGGGCAGAGGTGAAGGAGTGATAAGGCGGCGGTGGGGCTCCGTCAGGCCATTTTCTCACCTCTGAATTCCTAAATCCTCCGTTGCGGGCTCGGTGCAAGTGCTCAAACATAAGGAGCAGCTCTCTGAGGGCGGGGGTCAAACGGAAAGAGGGAGAAATTAAATGAAAAAAAAACAAAAACGCGGCGAAGCAAAATGGGGGGGGAGCGAACCAAGGAGGGAGCAGAGTCTCTGCAAAACAAAGGGGAAAAAAGGGGAAGGGAAAGGGGGAAAAAAAGGGAAAAAGGGAAAAAGGGGAAAGGGGCAAAAAGGGGAAAGGGGGAGGGAAAAAGGGGAAAGGGGGGGGGGGAAGGGGAAAGGGGGAAAAACAAGGGGAAAGGGGGGAAAAGGGGAAAGGGGGAAGGAAAAAGGGGAAAGGGGGAAGGAAAAAGGGGAAAGGGGGGAAAAGGGGAAAGGGGAAGGGCTCCCACGCAGCCGGCGGGGCTGAGAGGTGATGGCACCACTGGAGGGGATGGGCAGGGGACAGGCAGCGGGGAGCTGCCCCCAAGTGCCCCGGGGGGGCTCGTGAGCTGCTGGAGCAGCCGGGGGAGGCTCAGACCCCGCGGGGATCGAGCCCGGCCCCGTCCTCGCTCTGCTGGAGGAGAAGCGGCTCCCGGCACAGCCGCGATGCACCGGGGGCACCGGAGCTCCTCGGGGGCACGGCTGTTAGGAACCCTGCTTTTGGGGGAAATAAAGAGCGAAACAGAATCAGAAATTTGTCGTGGCAAAAAATAACAGATGGAGTGAGCGGCAGCAGAACACAAAACCAAAGGTGGACGGGAGGGGAGGGCTGGGAGCACGCGGGGCATCCGGAGACGTTTCGGGGTCCTCGCTCTCACGTGGCAGCAGTGAATTTGGGAGGTGAAAGCGCCGCAGGACGGGGCAGGGGGCTCCCCGCTGGGCCCCCCCCCGGGTCCCTCTGGCTCCTGGCCTGCTGCAGCCCCACCGCCGCGGCCGTGGGGTCCCCGTGACCGGCAGCACCGTCCCCTCTCCCGAAAGGAAGGTGATGGATGGGGTGAGAGGGGGCGGTGGGATGGGTGCTGTGGGTTGGGGGGGTGAGGATGCATTTGGGTTTTGGGCAGCCCCTGAGCTGTGGCACCGGCGTCCTGGAGCTGAGCCAGGAGCTGCTCGTCCCCACGGTCCCCACCGAGCTCTCAGTGTCCCCACATCCCTGCGGGGACCCTCTGCGAGCCCCCCCACCACCTCTCGCCCCCACCCCGCCTACCTGAAGGAGGGCAGGAGGCTGTCGTAGTAGCACCAGGTGGCCGCCAGGTACGCGCGGCTGGCGTCCGTCGAGTAGAGCCGCCACGCAGCCTGGGCAGGGGGGAGCCCGCGGGCATCAGGGCTGGCCCGAGCCCCCCCTTGCTGTCCCTCCTGTCCCCCCCACGGGGATTTGTGCACCCCTGGGGCACCCACGGATGTTGGATGGAGCTACCTGGATGAGGTTGGCCGCAGGCGTCCTCCTCTTCTCAAAGTGCTTCTGCCGGTGCTGCTCCTGCACCTTGAGCGCAAAGCCGGAGCCCAGGATCCCCTGCAGGATACGGGAGGGGATGGGGTCTGCAGAGGGTGGATTTTGCCCCTTTTCCCCCCAATTTTTGCCACGTGGCAGGGTGGGGGAGCGTGCCCAGCCCTGTCCCAGCCCTACTCACGGCGGGCAGAGCAAAGAAGGAGATGCCCAGCAGGGCGAAGCCGGCCGCCAGCATCCTCCCCAGCCACGTCTGCGGCGTCTTGTCCCCGTAGCCGATGGTGGTGAGGGTCACCTGCGCGGGGACAGACAACGGGGGGCCCTGCAGGGAGCTCCCCCACACACCCCACAGCCCCGTCCCACCCTCCTGGTCCCCTCCCGGGGCTGGAAGGGGGGGTCCTCACTTACCGTGCCCCACCAGAGGGAGTCGGCGTAGGTGGCGAACTGCGCGTTGGCGTCCTTCTCCGCCAGGTAGACGAGGAAGGAGGCGAAGATGAGCACCAGGAAGCCGATGTACCAGGCGGTGATCAGCTCCTGGTGGGGCAGCGGGGTGAGCGGGGCCGTGGTGAGGTTTGGGGGGGACACTGGGACCCCCCCCCTTCTCCTCGTCCTCACCTTGCTGTGGGCGTAGACGACGGAGCCCAGCAGCTTCCAGGTGCCGCCACGGCGGTCCATGCGCACCATGCGCAGGATCTGCAGGAAGCGCATGCTGCGCAGCGCTGAGGTGGCGAAGATGTTGCCCTGCGTGCCCGCCGCGATGACGGCCACCGAGGCGATGAAGACGATGAAATCTGGAGGGCGGAGAGGGCGAGGGGTGGGGCGCGTGGGGTTTTTATGGGCTGGGAGATGCTCAGAGCCCTCCAAATCCCCGCACCCCGTACCTATCACGAGGGCAAGGGTTGGGCGTGTGGGGTTTTTATGGAATGGGTGATGCTCAAAGCCCCCAAATCCCCATACCCTGTCCCCTAAATCCCCGTACCCTGTACCTATCACAAGGGCAAGGGTTGGGTGTGGGGGGTTTTATGGCATGGGTGATGCTCAGAGCCCCCAAATCCCCATACCCTGTCCCCCAAATCCCCATACCCTGTTCCTATCATGGAGGCGAGGGTCAGTTGTGGGTTTTTTTATTGGCATGGGTGATGTTGAAAGCCCCCAAATCCCTGCACCCTGTGCCTATCACGAGGGTGAGGGGTGGGGTGCGTGGGGTTTTTATGGCATGGGTGATGCTCAGAGCCCCCAAATCCCCGCACCCCGTACCTATCACAAGGGAGAGGGTTGGGTGTTGGGGTTTTTATGGCCTGGGTGATGCTCAAAGCCCCCAAACCCCCTCACCCCATACCTATCACGCAGAAGGGTTTCCGGGCAAAGCGGAGCCTCCCCCGCCAGCCCCGGTAGCGGCAGCAGCAGCCGGCGGCCCAGACGCGGACGATGTACTCCATGCCGAACACCACGATCATGACAAACTCCTGCAGGGGGGGGACGAGCAGGGTAAAACCAGGAGGGCAGGGGCAGCAGGACGGCACGGGGAGGCTTTGGGGGTGCAGAAGGAAACCGGGACCCTCCCCAGGACCCCCCAAGTGACACAGCTCCGAGCTCCCGGTGTGGGGCCGTGGCCGTCGAGGCTCCCCGAGCAGCCCAGCCCTACCTGTGCCAAGCTCAAACCGAGCCGGGTCCTTTTCCTCCTCCGTCAGCATTGTCCTCCTGCCTCCCCCGTTCTGCTTACTCGGGGGAACGTCACCAGGACCTTCCCGATTTAGTCCCCGCCGCTCGCAAGAACCCCGGCGTCAGCCGTTTCTGACACTTTGGGGGAAAGTAGCCTTTTTTTTTTTATTATTTTTAGCCCCTCCTGCCCTGCCTCCCCACCCCACCAAGGGGTCACCCCAATCCTCTGGGACCCCTCAGCAGCGAGGCCACCCCGCAATGTCCCCAACGTGCCGGGCTGGGTGGCATCGGCATCGCCACCTGGCATCGCGCAGCGGTGGAACACACAGGGCCGAGGGCTGGGAGGGGGTCTCCAGGGGGCTGCGGTGGTTTTAGCACGGGTGTGCCCCCCCCTGTCTCTTACCAGGATGAAGAGGCACTCGTTGGCCAGCTTCTGGTGCTCCTGGATGGTGGAGAAGACGGAGAGCACCAGGCAGCTGAAGACGAGGAGGAAGCTGCAACGAGAGCGCACGGGGGTGGGAGGGTGTTCGGGGGGTGGGCTTGGGGGGGGGGGGGGTCCGGACCTTCCCCGGGGGTTGAGGCTGAGCCTCCGAGGCCGGGCTTTGCCCCTAGGGGGAGGCAGGGAGCGGCTCGGGAGCGCGCAGGGTGCGGGGATGCGCCCGGAGCGCGCCCCGAGGAGCCCCCGGGAGCCGCTGCCCGAGGGTCCCGCACGGCGCCCGGCTGGGGGGGCGGGTTCGGGGGGGGCAGGAGGAAGAAATTCGCCCCCCCCCAGGCTCAGGAGACCCCCAGGGAATGGGGGTGCCCGGCTCTGGCAGTGCCCGAGGCCGGGCTGGATGGGGCTGGGGGCAGGGGTCGTGCCCATGGGGGGGGGGCTGGAGCAGAGGGTCTCGAAGGCCCCTTCAACCCGAGCCATTCTGGGGTGTTTAATGCCCCAAAATACCCGGGGGAGCACGGTGACAGTGTGCAGAGACAGGGGATGGGGCTGGGGACCGTGACCCCCCCCCAGCATCCCCACCCTCTCACCCAGGAGTGGGGGCTGCAGGGGGCACCTCGGACACTGCCCGGCCCCCTGCTCGCAGCCCCCCCGCTGCCACTGCTGGCACCGGGAGCGATGTTCCCAACGGGACAGGCAAGGGGGGGCTTTAACACCTCGCTGCTGGGCAGGCGGAGGGGACCAGGGGCCCCACAGGACCCCCCCGTGATGGGGTCATGTCCCCAGGTCACCCCGCAGGCACACGGGGGAGGAGGAGGAGGAGGAGGAAGGCCCGGCTCCAGCAGCCGTGGGGCTCGGTGCCAGGCTCTGCCGCAGCCCTGCGGCCTCTTACCCAAAACAACTGCTTAAAAAAAAAGCAGGGCAGGAGCTGGAGGGCCCCCCCCAGGCAGAAAGGGGACCAGAGCCACTTGGGAACAGCCGGGACCCAAGGGCAGAGTCAGCAGGGAGCTGCTCCCAGGCTGCCCGTCCCGAGAGCTGGGGCGAGACCAAAGGGGCTTTGGCCCACTTAAAATAAAAAGGAGGGGAAAAGAAAAATAGATTCTGGAGCTGAGGCAGACAAAACTCTCCAAAAATACTTTTTTTTTTTTTTTTTTTTTCCCCTGATCCAGCGATTCTAAAAATGGAAAGCGGAGGGTTTGTGCCACCGGCCCCACGTGATGGGCGCGCAGAGGGCTCCGCTCGAGCCGCCTTGCGTAACGGCACGGGGGCACCGGCACCGGGCCCCCCCAGGAGTGGGCACCAGGGACAGAGCTGAGAGCACAGCCCCACCACGGGCTGGTGGTGCAAGCAGGGTGGTCCCAGCACCCCCCTGACCCCCCAGCAGCTCCAGCACCCGGTGCAAGCAAAGCGCCCGGGACCTGCAAGAGGTGCTGCGGAGAGCGCAGGGCTTAGGCTCGGCACCGTGCTGCCCGACGCCGTCTCGGAGCACTTTCTTGTCTCCTCTTCCTGCTGACACGGAGATTTGGAGCTGAATTGGCTGCCCGGGGGGGCTGAGGGGCTGAAACCAGACCCTACAGCTGCAGGAAGGGCACCACGGGGAGAGGTGTCCGCTGGGACGATGCTCGGTGCCCTCCTCGGGAGCACCCAGGCCAGGGGAGGTGGCTCAGGCACCGAGCACTCAGGAGGGAGCTGAGAGGTCCCCGGCAGCACCGCATGAACCCGGGCTGGCAGGGAAGGTGCAAAAGGAGCGAGAGCCAGACCTGGGTCAGAAAACAGCCTGAAGGAACCAGGCCGGTCCCTTCCCCAAAACTGCTGCCACGAGGGGAAATTGGAGACGAGGCTGAGGGCACAAAAACGCAAGGAAACGGGAGAAGGACTGGGAGCAGGGCAAGGGGAGGGCAGAGCTGGAACAATGCACACCCAGAAGAAGGGGCTGGGAGCGTCACGGCCCCATGCGATGCTCCAAGGTGCTCCCCGGCTTTGGGGCTGGGGGCTGCAGCCAGCCCCTGCCCCCTGAATGATGGGCACAGCCTTTTCCCCGTGCAGGAGCTCTGCCCTTAGCAGCTGGGGGCAGCAGCAGCTCGCCGGGCACCCCTCCGCGCCGCTCGTCTGGAGAAGCAAACCCAAGCCTTGGCCGAGCCGCCCAGGGCAGAGCCTTTGTGCACCATCAGCACCAAACGTTACACAAGCGGGATTTGGCAGGCAATTACACGGGCAGCGGAGCGCAAAGCAGAAGAGAATGCAGAAATCTCCCAGCCTGCGAAGATTTGTGCCTCTCGCCCAAGCTGGGGCCAGACAGGGGGGTGCAGGGGGGGTCTCTGATCCTTGGCACACGCTGGCCCCGTTGGGCACCCTCCTCCCCGAGCACCGCACGGGCACCGAGATGGTTGGGATCACCGTGCTGCAGGAGTGATGGAAAAGCCACCCCGAGAGCTGCTGCCCCCGGTGTCACCCCCCCCAGGGGATGCTCCTGCCCGGCCCCCAGCCCCACAGCGGGGTTTTGTGAAGGACACGATCCTGTGAGGCCCCCACGGCCCCCGCAGGGAAAGCAACTTGGTGGGAACACATCACCTGCTGGGAATTAACTCAGAAAGCTGGGGAAAGAGCCCCCGCCTGGCTGCTGGCAGTGCCTAAGCAGCTTAGGGGAGGATCAGGTGCTGGGGGGGCAGGAAAGGGGCTCCCCAAAGCCCCCCCCCCATATGTCCCAAATGCTGCAGCCAGGGGTTGTGGGGGCACCTCCTGTGCCTCCCCAAACTCTGCAGGCACGGAGCTGGTCCGCAGGAGCGCTCCTCCTGCTGTGCCCCAAAATATTAATTAAAACCCAGCAGGGGAGGGGCTGGTTGGAGAAAACGAACCTCCTGGCATTAATCTTCATTAGGGCTGCCTTCGCCATATGCTCCCGGCCGCTCCGGCGGCAGGAGAGGGGAAGGAGCAGGTGAGGTGGGGAAGGTGCTGAGCTCAGGGAAATGGGATGGGGTCAGCCAGGGGCACCCCCAGAGCTGGGCTGAACCCCCCCGGGCAGACAGGCTCCAGCCTCGGGGGCTGCACCCCGCGGGGTTTGGCGAGGCTGGGGAATGGGGGGTGAGGTTTGGGCACCCCCGTGCCCAGTCCTGCTGCGGGTGGCGGCAACGGGGTGGAAGGAAAACACCACGCGCCGCAGAGCAAACAGCTCGGCCTGGGGACAAGCCCGGCACGGCCCCGAGAGGGAGAGGAACCAGTGGCACCGACAGCCCTGGCACCACCGTGGCACTGCCAGGTCCCCGCGGTGCTGGGTGGCAGCGCTGGGTGTCCCCAACCCAAGCACCGAGTCCACTCGGGGGACAAAACCACCCAAACCTGGCTGGGATGGGGACGAGGATGGGGTCAGGAATGGGGTCAGGGATGGTGCTTTGCCCCCCGCACCCCCAAACCCGCCAGGCTCAGCACCCTGAGCACCGCCTGCAGCTGTATAAACAGCGTGTCTTATAAATCCCCTGTCCCTCGCGCAGCAGCCTTGCAGGAGAGGCGGCGCAGGAGGCCTGTCTGCCCCGGGGATATAAATATATAAATATTGGATATAAATATCGGCGCTGGAGCCGGGCTGTTTGTGGCTGTAACCATGGCAGGGGCGGCCACCCCCTCGTCCTACAGCGCCGGGCATCGCCCGCGGCCACGCAGGAGCTCGGTGGCTGCTCCTGCCCAGCACCCCAAAAAAAAAAACCCCAATCCCTTGGGAAGGGGAAGGAGCTGCCCTAATCGCTGCCGTGCCTCCAGCTCGGGGGGTGCACGGAGGGGGAGGTGGGACCCGGGACAAGGAGCCCGGCTGGGGGCTGCACGGCGCATCCCGTGGCCACGCGGGGACCCAGTGTCACCGTCCAGAAGGGATCTGGAGGATGTCCCGCTCCGTGCTTCCCTGCCAGGTGCTCCAGTGCAGGCAGCCATGCAGGGACTCGCTGCACGAGTGACAAAACCCTGGCACTGCTGCCCTGCACGGCCGGGCAAGCTTCTTCCTCCCCTGCCAAGCCCCGCGCGGGGCCACCCCTGCGCCCTCGGGTGGGTGCCAAGTCCCCGAGGCCTTCGTGCTCCAGGCAGAGCGAGCTGGAGACTGAGAGCAGCATCACACATCGCCCACCCCGGGGTCTGTGCCCCTCATCGCCCCCCGGCCCCCCAGCCCTGGCGGGGGAACGGTCACAAGGTTCCTGCGGCTGGTGCCAAGACGCTCACACGGAGCAGCTGAGATAGTTTCGCTCTTGGATCATCTGGCAAGCCACGGGCTGAGGGGAGGGGGGAGGAAAGGGAGCGAGTTCCCAGAGCCGTTCCCGAGGGGCCGCGCACTCCAGCACAACAGGAGGGGGACAGGAGACCCCCCGAGGGCATCGCACATGGGGGGCAGAGGGGGCAGGTTGGGGTGCTCAGCCCCATTCCATCCCCTCGCCCCAGGGCGCAGACAACCCAAACCTCTCCAAGAGCATCCCCTCGGGGTGGGGGGCACCCCAGCCACGCAGGGGTCCCCCCCGTCCTCACCACCTGGGGCCAGCCAGACCCAGGCCCCAAACCCTGCACCTTGTGCTCGGGGTCCGGCAGGAGCAGCTGGAGGGGAAACGAAGAAGAAAGAGGAAAGAAGGAGATCGATGTGCAGTTTCACGTTGCACCACAGCCACTTCATTTTATGCCCCAGCGACGCTGCGTCAGGTTCAGCAAACTGCTGCGTCGCCTTCTCCTTCCCCTGCCATTTCCCCCCCCACCGCAGCTCCCATTTCAAGCTGGGACAAGAGGACAGGGGGCGGCCCTGAGGGGGTCCCCTGGGGTCCCCAGGAAGGAGCCCTGGCTCCAAGGGCGCAGCTCCAGCAGCCGAGGGTCCCGGCCTCGCTGTCCCGTTTCATTTTGGCCACCCGCGTGCAGCAGTCGGGTTTTCCTCCTCCTCCTCCTGAGGGTCCCCCCAAAGAACCCCGCACCCTGCAGCCATCCCACCCCGCTCCCCACAGCCTCTCCGCTCACAGGACAGGAGCAGAAAGCCCAGGAGCTGCCAGCAGCCTGCCCCCCCCAGCCAGCTGGGGCACCCAGGGACCTGCCAGCGCTGTCCTGCACCCCCTGTGCCAGCAGGGATGCCCACGGCCCCGCAGCCAAACCATGGGCACCATGCGCCCACTTCCAGCTTTGGTCTACCCTTTCCCTCCACGTCCTGGCCCTGTCCCCCTCCCCAGGCACAGGGAGACCCTTCCCCAGGAGGGGGGTAAATAGGGGCACACCAGTTTGGCACCATCCCACCAGTGCCCCCAGAGCAGCCGGCACGCATGGATTACCCCACCCTGGGGGCTGCGCTTTGGGCAGGGGTCCGGGGATGCTGCTGGTGCTGCTGGCTCGGTCTTGGTCTTCCCCATTTTGCTCCAGGTCAAACCTCACTAAAACCCTTATTAAAGAGCTCCTCTAAGGGCTGGAAACGTGCTGAGCTGAGCTCCTGGTGCAGCTCCACGCTGCCAGAGCCCCCTCTCCACCGGGGCAGGGCACCCACGGCAGGGCACCGCTCCCCACGGGGCTTTGCTGGCACACGCAGGGAGAACAGCGAAAGGGGAAGCTTTGATTTGCTTCTGGCCCTAAATCCTGTCGGTTCAGGCTCCAGTCACGCTCCCAAATTTTCCCTGTAAGCCCTGGGCTGGGAGCTGGCACCAGCTGAGCCCGGGCTCGGTGTGGTCAGCACAGCCCCGAATCAAGGGGACAGAGGGGACGGGGCCACCACTGCCCCCCTCGGCTCTGTTTTTGGGGCAGGACGAGGGGGCTGCAAGGATGTGGCAGCAACAAACCCATCCCGCGAGGGGGGGGGACCAGCATCACCCAGCCCCCAGCAGCCGCTCGGGGAGGATTTGGGATCAATTTCCCCGCAGAAGGAGACTGAACTTTGCCAATAAGCGGTATCAGCTCAGCCCGGCTGCGTGCTCCCAGACCTTAAAACTGCTCGGAGGAGGGAAGCTCTCTGCTTCTCAGCGGGGATTTCCATTTTATGGAAATTTTCCATTTTTCCAGTTTTCAGCCCTGTCTGGGAGCCAGGCAGCCGTGGATGGGTCCTGGGCCCGGCGCTGCCCCGACCTTGGGCGACCTTGAGGCATCTCCCGTGCCTCGGTGTCCCCCGAGCAAGACGGGGTAACGCCGTCCCCTCCTCGTCCCCAAACCTATCCTCAGGCGTTGAGGCACACAGATCGCTCCTGCAAACACCAGTACCCAGCCCTGCCACAGCTTCACAGCTCCCTTCTGCCGAGGGGGAGAAAATTTGGAAGCCAGAAGTGAGCCAAACTCCCCGGGAAGTCTTTTCGGAGCAGGCAGCTCTCTGTGTGCCCACCACGGCGCCTTCCCATGGGCTTTTTGGGGTCCCTTTTTGGGGGCACAGGCACAGCCACGCAGCCCAGCCCTCGAGGGCAGGTGGGGCTGGGGACGGGCACAATTCCCATCCCCATCCCAATTATTCCTATCCCCATCCCAGTGATTCCCATCCCAGCCAGGTCCAGCCCCAGCAGACGAGCACCTTGGAGCTGCCCTGAGCCGCGGCACAGCTCCCAAATTGGGGACAAAGCCATCTCCTGGTGGCACCCACAGCTCCGTGGCTCTGCAAGGGGACCCGCTCGGTCCAGTGCTGCTGTTTTTTGGGGAAAAAAACCCACTGGGAGAAGGCGCTGCGGGAGGAGGAGGATGCCTGGGCCCACACGGGGGATCCCAGTGCAGAAACTCAGCAAGAACACAAAAAAAAAAGCTTTGTCCCCCCTCCCCAAGCAGGAGGTTTTGGCTGCCACCCCAAACTCCCCGCAGGAGAAGCTTTCCTGGGCAGCACTTGCAGCGTGGGGATTATTTCCAGATCACACTGCGGAGGTGTCGGCAGGCCTTACAAATGGGGCCCCGGGCTCCTCTCGTGGCTCCCCGGGGAGCTCAGGTGCCCTGCGATCAAGTGACAAATTCCTCCTGCCACGGCAAAGTGCTAACTTACGCAAGACCCACTTTCCTGCCTCTTAACGAGCTGCTCTCCGCTAACGAGCGGGCACCGCTGCGCAACGGGGCCGGGCAGGCAAAATTTGGGGCTCCCACTCCCTGGGGGGCCGTGCCCAGCAGGGCTGAAGGGTGCACACCGAGTGCTTGAGAGATTTTGGGGGAAAAACATCACTTTCTGTATGGCTATGGCCAGGCAGGGAGTAGCAGTGTCCCAGCAGGGTCCCAGGTGGGGGCGGGCAGCGCAGCCCCGCACGGAGCCCCCCAGCCCCTGGGTGCACCCCCAGCCCCCTGAGGACACCCCAAGGGGCAGAAATCCCCCCTCGGCCACGAACTGAGCCTGTGCCTCCGCTGATGGCCGGGCTGGGGAAGGGCCCAGCTCCTGGAGCATCCCCGGGACGTGCTGGGGACCAGCAGCACCGGGGACCACGGGGGGGACATCTCATGGGGCACCGCTGCCAGGCTTTTACCAGGGAGACCCCCCCCCAAAAAAAAACATCTCCCCCATCCCACCTTGGCACAGCTCAGGGGGTGCCAGGAGGGGACTTTTGGGTGCCTGCCCCATTGCTACCCCACGGGACAAGTCCCCAGTGGCACCCAAAGGTGCCCTGTGCCCTCTCCACGGGCCCCCCACCCCCGAGGGTCCCCACGGACTCACAGGGGACGGGGACAGACCGAGGGGGTGCCCCCAGCACGGCGCAGAGCAGCACCGGGGAGCCGTCGGGGGCTCAACACCCGTTCTCAGCCCCCCCCCCCCCCGGCTCGGTGCTCGCCCCCCGCCCGCTCCCGGAGCTCCCCAGCTCGCTGCGCACCCGGAGACCCCCACTGGGGAGCGCGGGGAAGCTCCGGCCCCCCCCCACCCCGAGGGCGTCCCTGTTCTCAGCACCACCCCGCCACCCCCGGGAGGTCGCAGCCCACCCCCCCCCAACCCCCAAAACCCCCAAAACAACCCCAAAACCCTCGAGGGTCCCGTCCCGCGGCACTCACATAAAGGCGTGGTACACGAAAGCCCCCCCGCGGGGCCGCTCCAGCACGTTGTAAAGGCAATTCTGCAGCCTCCGCCGGCACCGGGGGGGCCCGGCGGGGTGGGGGGCACCGGCAGCAGCAGAAGCAGCAGCGGGGGAGGCAGCAGAAGCAGCAGCGGGGGCGGCCCCGAGGCTCGGAGCCGCCAGCAGCCCCCGGCGGCGGGGAGCGGGGGTCCCGCCGGGGCCCCCCCCGCTGTCGGTGCGCACCGCCCGCAGCCGCTCCCCGCCGCTCCCCGCCGCCCCGGCCATGGCGCCCGGCCCCGTTCACGCCGCCCGCATGGCCCCCCCCGAGCCCCCCCCCCCCGACACCGCTCCGGAGCCCCGGGACGGCTCCGTTTATCCGCGGCCCCCCCCCCCGGTTCTGTCTCCTCCTGGTTCTCTCTCCCCGGTCACCTGCCTTTAGCCGCCCCCCCCCCCGCGGTACCGGGACCTCCCCCCCCCTCCGGTGCTGCCCCGCCCCGCAGCACCTGGCCCCCGCCCACCCCAAGCCGGGGGGGGGCGATTTGGGGGAGTCCGCAGAGGTGGCAGCCCCCGGGGGGAAAAGGGGAGGGGGCGCCGCTGGCTCTCAGTGGGGTCCCCCCCCCCCCTCTCTCCGGTGCTGCTGGGGGACCCGGTCCCATTTTGCCCCCCCCCCCCCGAGCCCGGTGGGGAGGGTTCGCTACTGGGGGGGGGGAGGTGTGGGGCAGCTCGGAGGGAGCGTCCCGAACCACCAGGGATGGAGCACCCAGGGGGGAGCATCCCAAATATCAGGGAACAGAGCATCCCTGGGGGGAGCATCCCAAATTGTAGGGGATGGAGCATCCCGGGCGGGGGGACATCCTAAATCACAGGGGATGGAGCATCCCGGGGGGAGCATCCCAAAGCACTGGGTGCTGAGCACCCCAAAACACCAGGGATGGAGCACCCCAAGAGATGAGCATCCCAAACCATGGGGCATGGAGCATCCCGGGGGGAGCATCCCAAATATCAGGGTACGGAGCAGCCCGGGGGGAACATCCTAAATCACAGGGGATGGAGCAGCCCAGGGGGAGCATCCCAAATTTGCAGGGTATGGAGCAGAGCACCCCAAAGCACCAGGGATGGAGAATCCCAAGAGTGAGCGTCCCAAATATCAGGGTATGGAGCATCCTGGGGGGAACATCCCAAATTGTAGGGTATGCAGCATCCCAAGGGGAGCATCCCAAAGCACTGGGTGCTGAGCACCCCAAAGCACCAGGTCCGGAGCACCCCAGGATCCCCAATTCCTCCCCTGTCCTCGAGGTCCCACACAGCCACAAGGGTTTTGCTCTGCCACCTTATTCCCCCGAGCTCCCCCTGCTACCAGATGGGGAAACTGAGGCACTCTGCAGCCGGTTCCCCCCCCCACCCCCCTTGCCCCATGGGGGGTGCCCCGGGGCCCCGAGCTCCGGGAGAGGAGCGCAAGTTACAGCTCCGGGCGGTGAATTATTTAACGCGGTGCTTGGAGATCCTGGCACGGGCACGGGGCCCTCGTGAGCACTGCGGTACGGGGTAGGGCTGGGGGAGCACACGCAAGAAATGGATGGTTTGATTTGAGGGGGGCACGGGGGAAATCGTGCTGGCCCCAAACCCACCCCAAGGGCCAGCCTGCAAAACCAATCTCCCCCCAAAGATGCCCCACAAGCACCCAAGGGTGCCCCAAAAGCACCACGGCACCAAGACACCACTGAGAGCCGGTTCCGTGTGGGCTGTAATTTGTGGGTCCAACCCAAAATCTGCCCTGCGCCCTCCTGCAGCCCAATTCTGAGCTCCTCGGGGGTCCCAACGCAGCATCCCCCCCCCCGCCGTGGAGCACCTTGACCTTCAGCATCTCCCTCGGGTTCCTGCGCCCCCCTCGTCCCCGCGGTTTAGGTTTCACCTGGCGATTGATCGGAGTTAAGGTGACCCGAAAGGACTTCCAGAGAGGGGGCATGGGCACGGGGGGGGGCCAGGCGGGTGGGAAATGTTGGGTTTATTCCCACTTTGGAGAGGGAGGGTGCAGGCTGAGGTCCCAGACGTGCTGGGGAAGCTCTGGGGGAGCTCCGCTTGCAGAATTAGTTTTTTTTTTAAACAAAGTCATAATTTCTCCAAGCTGGGGGGAGAAGGGGACCTCAGAGGCTGCTCCAGCAGAGCACCCAGGGGTGATTTTGGGAAGGGACCGATCCTGCACCAGGGTCACGCTTTCCACCTGCACAGATCCTGGGAAAATCCACTGATGTGTGGAGCTGGGAGCTTTTGTAGGGTATTGGCCAACCAGCAGAACCAGCAGAGGTTTTGGGGAGCCTGTCCCAAGCTCTGCTGGCTTTTTACCCCCTGCCTGGCCACGGGCATCCCGCAGAGCCCCCTCTCATCCTCGGGTCTGGCCCCCGGTGGAACTTTTAAAGAGGATTTCCGAATTCGGGTGCTGCTGAGTGAGGAGGCCTCCGTGCTCGGAGCCTGCTGCCCTCTTGGGATTGCAGCTCAAATTCCTGGCACGGCCGGGGAGGCCGGGATTTGAGGCCAGGATTTGCATCTACAGGATTTCCAGTAAGTTTTGCAGCCCTGGTATGCAGCTGCAGAGCTGCCGGCTGGGGAGGGCGACAGGGGGGACGGGGGCTCCATGGGGAAGGTGAAATGGGATGGGAGCAAAGCCCAGGCTGGTGCCCTCCATTTGGGGTGCTGGGGGGGTCCCAGGGAAAATCTGGGGGCGCACGGAGGGCAGGAGGTGGCCAAAAGCCTCTGCACGAGGGAGCCTGAGCTGGGGCTCGGTGGCTGGGATGGAAAATGCTGGGGACAGGGTGCTCGGGGCTGGCTGTGCCCCAGGAGCTGGGGACAACTGGGAGCAGGGGGCAGGGAGCAGGGAGGGCTGCGGAGCACCTGCAGTCTGCCAAAAACTTGGCCAAAGCCCAGGGCAATTAGCTGCTGGCTTGGCGCTGGAGCAAACAAGAGGCTGGGATGGCACGGCCACGCTTCGGAGAGCTCCGTGCTGCAGGATGGGACCCGGCAGGGCTGGGGTGACCCCAAAACCCAGCCTCCATCCCCAGGAGCCTCCATCCCCAGGAGCCTCCATCCCCACGCAGCAGCCACCCGTGGGTGCCCTCTCCTGGCCGCATCCCACACGCAGAGTTTTCACCCAATATATTCTATTTTTTTCCCCTATTTTTGTGCTGACTCTGCTCCAGGCACGGTGGTGCCCATCCTGCTCGGAGCTGAGGGCGCTGCTGGCTCCCAGCCCTTTTTTTAGGACTCCCAGGGGTGACCTCACCTGGCCCAGGAGCTGCAATTCCTGCACCGAGCTCCCTCGCTGGAACAACCTGGCCCCGTTTATGGGCTTTACACCACTCCTGGAGCTGCTCCTCGCTGCGAAACCACGGCGAGCTCGGCTCTTCTGGCAGGAAAAACGAGCAGCTGCTGGTGCTGGCACTGTCCCCGCGCTGTCACAGCTCTGCCAAGGCGCTGCACAAAGCCACAGAGCCCCTCCTGGACGACGTGCCAAGTATGTCAAATCGCCCGATGGTGGACACGAAGATGACGAGTTACAAAACCTCAGCCGTGTTTTAGCCAAGACCCAGAGGCTCGGCCCCAACGCCGCCGGGATCCTCGCCGTGTGCTCAGTGAAACCTGGCTCCTGGAGCTGGTTCACACCCGCCCCAAAGCCCTCGCTGCTGCAGAAGCTGCAGGGAAGGCTGGCAAAGGGCTGCTGTGCTGAAACATGCCCCATACAATGACCCCATAGAGACCTCCTTGGCTGGTGGGCACCACCAGAGCTCCCACCCCACCGCTCGTGTTCCCAAAGACCCCAACCAAGCCCCTTCTGCAGCCACCCTCAAGCCCTGTTTGCTGTTTTCACCACTTTGGGGTGATTTTTTCAGGGACTGGGGCTGCGCTTCGCTTGGCAGGTTGATGCTGCGCACCGGTTCCCAAAGAAAGTGCAGACGTTATCTTAGAAAGGAAATTTATTTTGTTTTATGAAGCTTATATTACATGCATCGACTGAAGCTAGTACAACAGTTAACAGCAGGGCTGGGGTTTGTCCAGACTTCCATTAGTGTTTCTGGAATAAACCAGGCCAAATTAAAGAATCGTTTGTCCTCCGAAAATACAGTCATAATACAAGGAATGTTTTTGTTTTCACTTTAATTACTCTTCCCCTACTCCCTGCCCCCTAGCTGCATACACTCAATGCTCCGGCTTACCAAAAAAGGAGGCAGGAGAGGAAAATCTAACACACATACACACTGCCCCCCCCCCCCACGCCCCTAATGGACCACTGAGATGGTAGGACTGAATCTAGCTCTATTCGGAGAAAAATACAAAGAGAATACCGGGAATAAAGCTCTTACAACAAACCAGAGGCAGTACCCTTTAATCATTTCACTAGATAAAAACGTTTTTACACATCGTTCAATGAGATGCTGCCAATTCCTTTCGATTACTTCTCTTCAGTTTCCAGGGGGTCGGAACAAGCAGCTGAATACACTGAAATATTGACTTCTGAAATTAAAAATACAAATATTGCCTTCTTGTCAGTGTCTGCTGGATATTCTCTCATACCCACCAGAGGAAGGTGTACAGTGCACCAGAGACCGCAGCCTACTGTAGGCTGAATATTGAGCACGGATACAGAGAAGCAGATGGGTTCATCAGACCGGGTCGGTACGGCCAGCGTGGGGCTGGAACGGGGTTTTGTTTCCACACGGAGACACGAGGTGCTCTCAGTCCCCTGTCACTTGCGTGGCCTGGCCGTCTGAGGTTTGGTTGGTGGACTGGATGAACATGGGCTGGGTGATGTCCTGGCCTGCAGGCATGGTCACTTGCTGGATCTGATAAAGCTGCTGGCGGGGGAAGAAAGGGCTGTCAGTTCTCATCACACACACGGCGTTCCTCCCCTCCGAGCACAGTGATATGCATTAACCCTACGAGTTTAGGGGTGCTGATAACAGCAGCGCCCAGGTCCAAGTCGTATCTGTCCCAGAAAACGGAGCACAAAGTGCTGCTGGTAGGATTTAAGCAATGGATGTCTGGAGTAATTCTGTGAATTTCTTATCCCCAGACTGAGTTGGCTCTGCTTATGCAATAGTCAATAGCTAAACGTTAGGACCTTTATTCCTGAATTGGTTAGGATTAAAATGCATCCTACGCAGAGTGCAAGGGGCTGGGTTAATTTGGAGGAGCTGCAGCCAAACGTGAAGGATCCACCTGAATTAAGAGTGGCACAACGTCCACTTATCCTGCGTCTGCTTAGGGTTTGGTGGCAGTAGCAGGGTTTTACCTGGAGGAGTCGATTTGCCAGAACACACAGACTTTAGAACAGTTTTTCCAACCTTTGACTTTGAAGGAATGTAGCACCAACAACCTCCAAATTCTTACCTGTCCATCTGTGAACTGGCTGAACTGCTGCTGTCCTTGCTGGACTTCTGTCTGCGTTATCTGCAAGGGTAAGAGAAGGATGATCACCGAGGGCATTTTGGAGAGGGCCAGGACCCCACCAAAAATATTCTGCCGCGGCCTTTCAAGAGCATTTAGCCTCTTCCAAACTTCGTTCCCCCACCACGTGGTAAGATACATCTCATGCCGCTGGACTGCGGTCATGCTGCTGCTAACTGCAAGTCAAGAACAGGGGACATGGGGTTCAGCTGTTCCAAACCAAACACACACATGTCCTCCCTGATCGGCACCAGGAGAATGCGGCCTCCAGGATCACAGAAAGCAGCAGCTCTCCCATCCCCTGAAGGCAGAGAAGAATCCCTTCGTGACCAGCCTCACCAAGACCACGAGGTGACCTGCTGGCAGCAGCGCTGGCCCTGATGTTTCACCTCTCCAACAGCCCTCCTGAGAGCGCGCGCTGCTGCTGCTCCTCCCTCACCCAGCCAGAAGGAGCAGAAGTAAAGAGAAGGCTGATGAAGTTTTACCTGCAATCAGCTCAGAAGCAGCACGAGCTTTATACAGTGAGAGGCACGCACGCACGCACACACACGCATGCAGCTTTCACGTACAGGTAAAGGAAAACTTCCACTACGCTCCTCGCTTCGTTATTCTGACGAAGGTAACAGGAAGGAAAGAAACGCAGGAACCCTAGCCCAAGAGTTGGTAAAATTCAACTGGACTTTGCAGTTTCAGGAGCTAGGGAACAACACTTTACCAGTTAATGTCAGCCCTGCCGTCAGAGTGCCTACCTGCTGTGCATTGGTTGCAAGCGTCTGGATCTGCCCCTGGACTACCTGGGTGCCTGACACAGGTTGGGCTAAGCGGATATACTGCAGCTGGCCAGCATTCAACTGAACCTGGAGACAAGCGGAGGGGGCAGGGAAAGAAAATTAAACAGGTAACTGTGTAACCTGAAACACACAAACTTGCCTTCTCGTTTCCACAACAGAAGCCAGAGTAATAGATGCCATGGGGAGCTTCAGTTGGTTACCGGTTGAGATGAGCAACTACCACTACCTGCCAGAGCAAGAACGATGTCCACACAACTCCTCCAGGTTCTTGAAGGAAACCCCCAAGAAGCACCACATCACTTCTTTCTTTCTTTCTTTCTTTCTCCAGAATGGAAGTGGTCAGTTAGTAGCTAAAGCATATTAATTGCTAAATTTCCGAAAGCATCAAGGACACTCATTTGTCTTTTTAGTTACGAGAACCAAGTTATGACTTCGATGCATTGTTTCACATAAAGAAAGCTCTCACGAGCTAGCTGCACACAGTGACACTCCTCTTACATTCTGCCAAAAAAAATATAAAAAGAAAATACGGGAAATTTTCAAATAAACGAAGGCAGTGCAGATGACAAAACCCAGGGATATTGCAAGATAGTATTTGGAACCTTTAAATACAGCTCTTCCCCACCTGGCAGAGGCCAATTCTTTGTGTCGGTGCTTTGTGTTTTACGTTCAAATGCAGATTTATTTCCTACAACCCAGATCTTGCAAGGGTAGATGCCTGGGGGAGTGGGATGTGAAGAAAGTGTCATCGCGGTAACCTCAGCTCTCATTTTGCATTTTCTGTGATACAAACAGCTGATCCTGCTAATACCCATCTGAGAAGCAATAAAAAGCTCACCACATGCTGGATATTACTCTTGAATTTTTCATTTTGTGTTATTTATAGATTCATAGCCCTCAGGTTAATTATACACAAAAAAAACGATTTTTTCTTCTTTTTAAAAAGGGTAAAGACAGACATACAAAACACTTGAACACGGCTCACTTGACAAAGGTTGGAAGTGCCTAGAACATGGGCTTGGCATTTACACAAACACCGCTGACTTCACCAGCTGTGTCTAAAAGCTCCAATATTATTTCAAGAGCAAATAAACTCCACATGAGCATAAACATTTCAATAAAGAATCTGTTTCTGCGCTGAGATCTGCCTGCAGAGCATGTTTTCCACGCTGGGGGTTTCCTGCTTCGATTTTAACTATACTACCAACAGAATGGATCAAAGTGATTTAGAAAAACTGCTCGTCCAGAACTGTCAGTAAGCTCCAAAGAGCTGGCCTGGCAATGCTTAGGCTAAGATGCAGATGAAATTTAACACAGAATTAATGTGGGAAAACAAACGATTACCATTTAATTGATGTATAGGCTTCCTTCCTTCCAACTTTACTCAGTTTTTAGAAAGAATAAAGCCACCTTCCCACAGGCAACCCACGGTCCCAGAGCAAACACAGGGAAGAAGCAGAGTATCAGGAGCGCGTGGAAACCCAGCAGAGAGTTTTGGGAAGATTCTCTCAGCCCTCTTGCAATCTTCAGAGATGCTCCTGGTTTTACAAGAGTGTTTCAAACTTTTGTATTTGTGCTAGGAAGGATTCTTAGCTGAACCCTAACTGATACCAGGGTGAAAAAAAAGAACCATCAGAAGACAATGGTAGATTGGGAAATGATAGAAAGGGAAAAATAATAAAAGCACAGCAGAAAGAGCAAAATGGATGGCAGCACTGAATAGAGCGAGGGCTGCAGCTCTGTGAAGCCACACAAAGTGCTTTCCAGGTGAGGGCACTAACAAGCTCTCGTGGTGAGCGCACGGCTCCCCCGCTCCATTGTCCTTCGTTTGGTGGAAGCAGGAAGGGGGACGGGTGTTTCATCTTCCACACACTGTGGCTCTTCGACACATCGTGATTAAAAGGAGATCTGTTTAACTACAGGCAAAACAGCATCTCTGCTAAATGCTGACGGGAGAATTGTGAGTATTTCATTAAAACACCACTCCCAAGTTGCGCTGTTTTATAGTCTTATGCTTGTTAGAGACTCAAGCACTCCTGAAGACAAAGCTTCCATGCTCGGGCACTTGACAGTTCTTATCTCATATCTGCAAATTTAAGCAGCATCCGAGGACCAGCCATAACTACCTGCTCTTAAATGCTCCCAGGCAAGAGGACGGTAGAAGAATACGCCTGGCCAAAAGCAGGCACTAATTAAAAAGCCTCCAGACACGTATTTTCATAAAGCACATCATCACTTACAACTGGATGCACCTAGGTGGAGAACAGCACTTTGTGCACAGCGCTACGGTCCCCTCACAGCTGCTTTATAAAGATTTCTTTCCCTCGGTAGATCTCCAAATCCTTTTCTTGCAGGGAGTTGCAGCATTCAGCAGAGACGACTGGAAAACAAGTCTGAACTCTTCTTCTGTTGCCAAACCAAAGGAGGATGCTGCAACACTCGGTACTGCTTATAACAGATTCACCCAGGCAGGGGTGCAGATCTCCTTCCCAAAGGCTTTTAGGAACAAGTATCTCAGAGAGGCTTCCATAAAGAAAGAAAAAATAAGAACATAAGAGAAAGGCAGTGGAGAGTGCAGAGGAGAAAAAAGGTTGCTTGTAGGAAAACACCACGTTTGGCAAGCAGTGAGCTTCCTTTCGGACCAACACCTTAAGCCGAGCAGTCGGAATTAGCTGAAGATTTAAGAGATGAGAAGAAGTGGGAGGTGAATTGGAAAAATCTGGCAGCACCGACCACCTGAATTTTTCTCCAGATGCTGTGTCCAAGCACAAAGAGACAGGGGGAAGCTTAGCGAACCTTGACAAGCCAGACTTGTGGAAAAGATGGGTTTTGCCCCAGCCATGGGTAAGCCTCGTAATAAGAGGAATCAAAGTGAAGTGCTTGTCTCGGTCACTTGGTCTGACCTTCGTGTTGCTGGTTAAGTACACAGAACTGGACGGATTTTTCTTTAAGAGGTGTGAAATTTTCCAGATGGGAATCAAGAGACCCGGCTTTGTGGTTGTTAGAAGCTACAAAGAGGGAAAAAATGCCATTTTTTGACCCATGTGTTTACCTAGGACATGTGCCAAAATTTACCTCTGATGTGGGGCACTCAAAATCCCGCTCTTAAGGCCTCAGCAGATCTATGCTAATGTGAAAGCGAGAAGATATTTCCTGGTTCTGCAAAGCCATTCCTCCAAAGTATTTCGTAAAATATTTTTTATAACATAAAAGCTTATTAATAACTCACAGATGGCACCTTTCCCACTCAGTCTGCCAGGTCCCGACTTCAGATTTGCAGAGGCAGAACCAAGAAAAGGCAAGAGAAGTTAATTACACTTTATTGAAACCATGTTGTAGTGGAGAACTCAGGTTTACCCTGGAAGTATTTTATTTATTGCTTCCTAATAGCAAGTATTCCACTCAGGGGGAAGCGTTGGTGGTGGGCACTGAGTCTGCACTAGACGGGTTGGATTTATTCCCCCTTTCACATCACACCTGGTTCGTTTTCCTCTCCTAGTGCAGGAAACACACCACTCAATCCAAACTTCCTCTTACAATTAAAAAAAAATAAAGCATCCATGTACAGCCTCATGCCAGAACACCAGCAGACAGGTTCGTTTCCAACGTTACACATTTCTGGTGGTCCTTACCGGGATCTGCTGGATCTCCCCCGTGTTGGTGATGATCTGCTGCATGACTTGCATGGTCTGCCCGGTCCCGCTCTGCGCCTGCTGGGTCTGTCCTTGCGGCTGCGCCTGCACGATCTGCACCTGCTGGCCTTCTCCCACCTGCATCGTCACAGGGGTGGTCTGCGTTCAGAACAGGGGGTAAGGGCCCAGCAAGGACCCGACACAGGCCAACACGATGCCAAAAGCGACAGGCAGGCTGCTCCCGAGACCCACCGTTATCTCCTGATGCTTAAACAGCCTTGGAGAGAAACCAGGAGCTGCGTGATCCTCGTTATTAAGGTCTCTGAACACCTGGCCTGCTCCTGCACGCTTATCTTTAGGGCACTGCTGTGAAGCAGGAAGCTGATTTTCTGATTTTACAGATAGGTACCGGTGCCAAAGAGAGGCACGGAGACATGCCACAGGTATTCAAGAAAATGCGTGCCAGTAAGGGCTCAAACTGAGACTGCAGAGCTCTGAAGGTGGCAGTGGGCTGGTAACTGGAACGTGCTTCCTACAAAAGCCAAAGGTGCCACACCAGCCTCACCAACACACCACGATTGCCAGATAAAGGAAAAAAAATAAGAAAAGCAGAGCAGGTCCCATTTCTCTACTGATATCAACACTGTGACTCTTAAAGCATCTCTTCATTGTTTTCTCAAATCAGTCTCCTAACCTCAGTATGCTACTAATAAAGGTGAGGAGTGGAGAAAAAAAACACACACAGTGAGAGTCACGACTGACAGTGTACAAACACAGCCCCAAACTTATTCCAGCTTCATTTGCATGGGAAAAAGAGAATTCATCCTATGGCTGCCACTGCTTGCTCTTGACTAAAGGTCTCAGCGGCTGCACTGAGCTGCAAAGCCCCCAAAAACCCTGCTCAGCACTCACCTGCCCCTGCTGCGGCTGTGCAATGATGATCTGCCCGGGCTGGATGGTGGTGGTGGACGTCGTGGTCTGCTGCCCTTGCTGCTGCCCCTGGACCTGCACTGCAGCAGGCTGCTGGGCGAGCGTGAAATAATACTGGACGGGCTCGGCTGGGGTCACAGCCTGACGCACCTCCTCCTGCAGCACAGGGAAAAAGCAGGTGAACGGGGAGGGAACAGAGCCGCAGAGATTGCCCACCCCATCTCCCATAAACATACTCCACGGAAAACAATGATCAACACCTCATCCCTAAGAGTTTAACTCAAGTAACCCTGAGATGACAAATCCAAACCGGCTTTCCTGATTTATTCAGCTATATGGAAATCAAAACCGTTTCCAATATCTTACGTCTGATCACGCAGTCGCCGATTTCATTATGAGAAGCGAATGGATAAAATTACCAGAGCTGAAAACCACGCAACTCCTCATCAGTGAATTCCATCATCGCCCGTTATCTCAGCACTGAATGAATTGCAAATGCACCGGGAAGGCTTACAGAGCCTCAGCTGTCAGCAAAACCCTCTTCTTAGCCCACACGTCCAACACAAATCTTAATCTAGCTCTGATGTTAAGCCCCTCGGAATAGAAGGCACGCGCTTGATGTATGCTGTAGTGCCTTTATTTATTTATTTAAACCCAGCTTTTCCAGATCCGTAACGACTTCATCTTGCACCGTGGCTCTTGGCAGCCTGATTCTGCTGCTAGCAGGAATCTCTCAAGAGCAGGAAGAAAAAGCCTCTGCTCTAGCTCACTGACTGAGGCACAGGCTGTAACATGGATGTTTTGCTTCATCTAAGGACGTCTTTGGGAAAGAAAAACCCCTTACAATTAACAATATCTTAAGCAGGGAATTTTAGGCAAGATTTTGAGCGATTATTAAGTGTCAAGCAGTTCGTGCTGAAGACTCCAAACCCTCAGGCTCCCCGGAGGAGCAGTCAGGTCTGCACCTTGCAGAGGATTTGGCTCACCAGCTGTTCACTCCATGGCAGAAGGCGTAAACAATCCTCTCCCAGCCACCTCGAGTTCACAGCTGAGAGTGTAGGATGTTTACACGTGCTACAACATGGTAGGCTCCAGGCTGCACGAGTCCCTTCCTCTCCCCTGCGTTAGCAGCAGGTTGCTCGTGGCTTACCTTCAGCATCCCCAACTGGATGGAAAAAGAAGGATTTGTGTTAAAACAGAATTGGTGAACTGCTGCCTAATGGGCACCGGGCTTGGGTAAGAGAGCCTTTTCCCCCAGATGCTGGTCTCTGGGAGGGACAGCAGCTAAACAAAGGGAGATTTCTCAACATCCTAGCAGAAGATCACGTCCCAGAGGTTAAGCTGTTCACAGTTGGCTGTAATCAAGGAGCGACTTCGGAGCGGGGCTCTCAGAGCAAACATCGGCGCTGCCCCACAGCACACAGCCACCAACCACGTGCAGGACTTCCTACACACCGATTAATTCCCCCTCGCTTCATCCAGTCCTCTAGGGAAGGGATTAATAACAAATTTAAATAGATATTCAACAGGACACGTCTCCAGCTCATCATAACCCTGCACGCCCAGGAGAGCCGCCGCTGTTTCTGTGAAGCCCAAGCCTTGGGCACGCTATTTCTAGAGCACTCCAATCCTCAAGTTCCTACCCAAAACCTCAATTAAGGCCCCAGGTATCCATTCCAGGTTAAAGATGCCTTTGCTAGACACCGAAGTGACTCTAAATCCCCATCTGCTCGCAGTAGGTTGTATCGCATCGCTTGCCATCCTTTATTTTCAGGCCATAGCTTTAGTTACCAGAGCAACATAACAGTCACGGCTTCATTCCCAGCTCCTCCACGTAACCAACACTGACTTGTCAAACAGTCTTTTCCGTGGTAGAGATAAAATACAGATTGCACCCCCAGCCAAAAAGCGCAGGCTGTCAGCCTACAGGCAGCTCCTTTTCAACACTGTTGAACCAGAGGAATATTTTCCACTGTAGAGTCCTGACCTGGGCTGTTATCAGGCAGCTCTTTCTCCAAACTCCTCTTGCTGCTAGAATTATTTTTTAATGATTCAGCAGTGTTCAGAAAGAGCGAATATTTCATCTCCAAGGCCTATTTCAGCCCAAACCTGACGGGGTCCCGCTGCTGATGCTGTGCAATCCTACAGACAGTTTTGGTGTGACGCATCGTGACAAGTGAACCTAGCAACTTGCACGCATCCAACACAGGCTACTAAAATACTTCACGCATTAATTTGGTTATAAATCACGAGGGGTTTCTTCTAGCTGTAAATCACAAGGCTCCAGGCAAGGGAAAATATGGGCAATGTTCTCCCTCCCCAACACCGAGTACTCAAATATAAATATATATATAAAAATCTATGTATATATATAGCACTACAACGTAGAATAACTGAACGAGGCACTAAAAGAACTGAATTTGCACTGCCAGAACTCACCTGCCTTACCTCAGACTGCAACCTGAACCAAAATGAAATGGGGGTTCCCTTTCCCCCCAGTTAGCACAACACTGAGAGCAGCTGCACCAGCTGCTGCTTTGTTTTTATGTTTAATACTGAACTAAAGATCTTTGGATAAGTTATCTCTGCTGTACTACTGCAGGGATAAAGCAGGGAACTTATGATGAAGAGCAGAAGGAGCCGTGCCATGCTCCCATACAAGATGTTCACCCTGTGTACGGACCACAGAGCTCCCAGCACATCAGTAACGAAGTCTTGAGATATTACTAATTGTAACCACAGCTGATTGCAGCACTGGGATGGACACTCCTGCACACACCGTGACATGGGAAGGCGTTTTCTTCACTTACTAGAAAGTCACCCAAGGTTAACTCAACTCGGGATGTCACCAAAAAGGATGAAGCGCAGATTTCCTCCCTTTGGTGGTCACGGCAGTAGGACCATGAGGATTTCAAGACAAAAAGTAAAACCACCTCCAAAATCCAGATCTACAATGAGGCCTCTGCGCTCAGAGCAGGTATCTTCTTGCATGCTGTCCTGATTTATGTTGGAATCTTTTCTTTGACATCTCTCGTATTCCAAGTAAAACACTTGCCAGCAAGTTGTTTTTATTCCAGCCTCTCCAGTAGCACTCATAAGAAAAGATATTTTAAGGATCATTTTGCACATTTCAAAGACTAAGGCACTGCAAACCTCCAAAAGTACCAGAAAAACAGCTGAAGAAAGCACATAAACTGTTATAAGCCACTGCAATCTACTGCTCAGAGAAGAAACTGCTGCAGTCAAGCCCTGGGCAAGGATTCCAGGAGCTGCTGAGCAAGGTGCAGCGCTGCCCAAACCTTCCCTAGAGGTGCACCAGCAGCAGGAAGCCCAGAAATTTTCTCAAGCAACGTGTAACGAAGAGAGACCAATAATCACTGGGCTGGTGAACCTGGAGCAGCAAAAAGAACAAGATTTTAAGCAAAGGGGATGAGTTCATCTGGATCTGTTTCTGTGTGCATTTGAAGCAGCAAGACAGCTTCACCCCCACCTCGCTGCAATTTTGTCACCGTCTCAAACACGAGGGAAACAAGCGCTTTGTGGAGCACGAGCCTGTTAACTTTCAAAGGACATCTTGTGCTCAGATGACCGCAGCAGCCTGCCGCTGTAAACATCCGACTGAAAGCTCCTTCTAACACCTTACAGCTTCCAGTCAAGGATGTTTACAGTAGCAATGACTGCCCCAAAGGGTGCATAGCAGTAGCACCTCCTGCAGAGATGCCTGTTTCTTCCTTTCACAACACTCAAAAGGATGCAGACTCAGCACACTTTTAAGTTTTTTTTTTAATATGCTGGCAACATTTGTTTTCAGAGCTCCTTAGCAATGTTTTTGTTACTTAATTAAATCCCAGAGTTAAACTGTAAATCTCTACGCAAACTATAAAAAAAAGAACCCAAAAACTGCTGTGAAGAAACCTGCAAAAAAAGAGGCACAAACTTCATGTTTAAACCTGAGATTCCGGACTTCTTTATTAAGACTCTACCAATTAGAGAGTGAAATTCGCACCTGAGGAAAGGACAGACAACAGGGCAACCACTTCTCTGTCTCACCTGCCGCTTTGGAGGCTTCAGCTCATCTCTGGGAACGATGTCGATGAGAAAGTCAAACTGATCAAACTTTGTAATCGCCATGGCGATGTCATTCCTCTAGAACAACAAAAAGAAAACCACTCTTCAGCTTTAGAAGTCGGTTTCGTCATTGAATAAATAAAGTCAAGGCTTTTTAATCAAAGGTGTTTAACAAACTCAGGTTTTTACAGTCATCTCCTCAGCCACCAGGCCTAAACAGATTCTTCACAACAGCACTGATGTAATTCACTACAGAGGGCTCATGACAACAGTCACAAACCTTTTAGCACATTAAAAAAGGGGAATTGTTAAAAACAAAGAATTTTAAAAAGTCCAACAAAAACCCACTCCAAAGATCTGTGCAAAAAGATGAAGATGACTGTTAGAAACTGCATTACTAGAAACATATGTAGAATACACGTTGGGGAGAGGAGGAGGAAAAAAGAATCACAGGATCATCTTATTCAGGGCTGGGGAATCCCAAGAGATGTTGAGAGAACAGGCTTCAGCATGTGGAAGGGCAAAATAGTTAAAAGAAAGCAGGAAGATTAAAACATACTTAGCAAACTGGCCAAACATGCATCAGAAAAAGGATGTGCAAGAGCCAACTGAGCTTCTAAGAAAAACTGGCAAGGCAAATATCTTCTTAAAATTGCTACATACAATGTATATATAAACCTTTTCCTTTATATCTTAACCAAAAAAAGAAAACCAAACATTAGCATCAGGTCAAAACATTAAAAACCTGAACGAAGAGTCAGCCAGCAATAAGTCATCACTTAAATGTATTTGCTTAAGTTCTGAAACAACCCTAGGATAAAAAAGACTGAATGTATTGAAGGAAAAAAAAAAAGGTAGTCATTTAAAAATTTTCGCAAGCCACCTTAAGAAGTAGAGCTGATTCAAGAAGCTATTAAAAGCCTCATTTTCATTAGCTGAAGATAAATTTATAAAGCATGTATATGAACAGGAGTTGAGACAAAGATGCCTACGCTGCCTAACGAGTGGGTAAGATTTAAAAGACTATCAATCCTCACATTTCAGGCTACTTGACATTTCTAAACCTCATACTGTCTTGGCATTTAAGTGCCAAACAATCATCACATAGAAAGCACAAGAGAGACATTTCTTTTGTTCTGCAGGCAGCATACATTATAAAAGTATCTTCACCAGGAAGAAAACTTTTATTGAACAGATGTCTCTCATATTTCATTCTCCATGCTGAGGATTGGGTTCAATCCAATTTCCTTCGGAATAGACTCCCATAACTCAGACCTCTCCACTCCAAATTTTTTCCCAAATGCTTGATAAGAGAGCCTGCATTCCTCCAGCTGCACCGTCCATGCGGAGAGCAGCTGTTCCAGGATGGCAGCTGCTGGGGGAGGCAAAGCTCTCAGAAAGAAAACCTGGGTCAATTAAAGGTCTTATACATTAGGATCAGGATTTAAGCACAATTCTGAAATAACAACTTGAAAGCTGTTAACAGGACGTGCCCGAGTTAACACTTGCCACTTACGAAGCATCATGTTATTGGTATGTGTACCAAATACACCCTTCCCACAGTAACTGCAGTAAAGCCTGGATTAAGGAAGTTGCATTAGCCCAATTTAGGGAAGATTGAGTGGTTAGACACCCACTCAACAGCACGGCTTTGGACTGAAGCCAGACTTGTCTGCTTGCCTCTATGGCAATCTCTGCACCGGGGTGTGGGAGATGCAGCGTGGCCCTAAATGTCTCTCACCTCTGATCTGAGGGCCTGGACTGATGGTTATTGCAGGGTCAGGTAGTTCTGATCAATATTTAAGACAAAGCACATGTCAAAATTTTCATAAAAGACCCTAGAGGGCTACAGTTTACTCCTGAACCACCAAGAATTGACTCCCAGTCCAAAGCGAACAGTGATCTGTTGCAGAGGTGGGTGTTTTTGTTTTCATCTCTGCACGTTTATCAACCCAGACTAGCAGCCACAAGCTTACATTAGCAAAATCGCTACTGAAAAACAAATCAGATGAAGTTCAACAGCTACAGACACCCCAAGTAATTAGAGCAGGCCACAATTAGCAGACAGCTGCAGCTCTGTGTGTTTTTCTTGTTGTCTGTTTGTTTTTAAGACCAGGTTAGGCAAAATGCATTTAAGTTACACGGGGCACTGTGCTTTGTACCCAGGTTTGTGATGATAAACACAGGCACTAAAGTTACTGTCTACAAAACATACCTCATATTATGGAAACAAGGAGTTGGAAACAGCGTACGAAGCAGATGAAGCCTGGGTAGGAACAACTCTGTTACCTGCAGAGTCCTGCGTTTGTTGTCCTCTGTGTGTATCCACGCTCGCAGAGTCAATTCTGTTATGAATATCTGAGCTGCCTTGGCGAACAACACAGGAGCTTCAGCGCTGATCATCTGTAATTAAATTTACAGGTTTTTTTTTTTTTTTTGAGGTTACCATCAATATTTTAATGCAGCAGAGCGGTAGTCAGGGTAACTTTATAACGTTACTCAAATCTGAACGGTTGCATTGTTTAACGGTGAAGCTTGGGGAATTTCCGTAACTGAAGATCTACGGGGCTGACACTCCAAATAATTACCAGGCTCGAGTTAAACACGCAGTGAGGAGTCCTGATCGTATACAGGCTGTCTTCCAAGCCTGTTTCATACGTGCCTAGTTAGACGTGAGCTCTGTATCGTGCTGGATTACGGTAGGCCAGCAACGTGCAGTTACAATTGGCATCGGTGCGTTCTTGGCTGTGGGTAACAACCAGCACCTCCTCCTGGCACGTGAGGACAATTCTGAATGAGGGCAGAAGCTGAGCAGGACAGGCTGAGGGCTCGTTACAAAGCCTGGCCCTTACTTTATAATTATAACACCAATATAAGTTGAAATGAATGCAGGAAATTGCAAAGGAGGTTTGGAGGCACAAGCACCTCGCCAAATTACCCAATTCCTTTGCCTTAAGAAGTACCCAGCTCAAGTGCAGCACTTTCATTATGAGCTGGCTTGGCATTAGCGATGACTTCCTAGAACAGGCTGCTTCTTGTTAAATAATGCTTGAAGGAAGGCCAGAGACTTATTTCCCCTTAAATCTCATCTTTCCCTTCATTATCAAAAAAACGACACTCATTTGGGTAAGGCAGCAACTCGGGACCTCAGCAGCTTGGGTTCATTCCGGTTACAGGCCAAATGAAGAGCTCCATTGCACAGGAGGACAACACACACCTTTCTCCTGAATCCCTTTTACACATTAAAGGTTGTCCTACGAGAAGGATGGTGTCACATTGAGAAAAATAATAAGAAAGTGCAAACTGTTCTCTGCTCTCTTAGGAGAGACACATCTGACAGTTCTCCAGTTTAGAAAACTGGGAGGACTGGAGCAGTGCAAGCATCAACATCCCAGGGGTGATTCCTTCCTCTTTTCCTCTATTTTCATAAAATGCTGCTAAATTTTCATCAGTCAACTCATGTGTTGTCTTCATCAGTCACACATCAAGGGTTCAGCTCAAATACTGGTATCAAACCCATGTTATCTACCTAAATTATTACTTGTTTTTCCGCAGAACTTTGAACAGCATATCACACGTTTACGTGAGATCACATTAAACTCCCTACAGCTTTGTGAAAGAGTTGAGAAAAATGAGGAAACACGAGGATAAAAAACAGTTAAGCACTAGAGAAAACAAATGAAGGAGAAAATGCCCAGAACGATGCAGTAAATTGCTGTTTAACAGAAGAAAGCACAATTGCAGAAGTCTTAAGCAAAGATCCCAAATGACTCCGCTTTCCCAGTTCGGTTTAATTACACCAGGCCAGCTGATACTGCATCCCAGGCAATTGCTCTGTAATGTGCTTTAAAAATAACTACACACAGTAACAATAATAAGTAATGAATTGCAAGGAATTATCGCTACAGCATCCACCAGAAGGGTCATAAACACCTAGGAAAAAAAGCCACGGTTGTACCTTCACATCCTCATCTAGCTTCATTATCTTCTTAATACGAGCCAGGGGCAGTTCTTGAACTCTGAAGTCTTTCTGCAGAGAGATTCAGATTTGAGAGACTCTTTAGCGATACTTAACTGAAAACAAAAGGAAGAAATGTTAAAATAAATCGGTCCAAAAACTGAACTGGCTAAAACTAGATAAAAATAACTTTGTTTCTTTGAGGGATGGCAGTTTCTCTGCAGATACAAGCATTCTCATCTGTTTTTCTGTGTTTTACACTGGTACAGTTGTACTTCAATCTTCTGTCAGACACTTGCAGTTACAATTTCACCTCAAAGCTGAAGTTATTCTGCAGAACAGAATGTTTCTGATGTTATAAATAGAGGCAGAAATGTGTATTTGAAGCAACTAATTCAATTAGGTGTCTTAGGACCCAGAAAGCGATGGAATTTGCAAAAAGTCACTTGAGAAAACGAGGGCAAACAGGAGCTCTGTGGGGCCACAGGATGAAATCCTTTCCTTGCACTTCGCTGTTGTTGTTCAACACAGGTTCTGGTGTCAAAAACCTCCGCAGGAACCTTGTCCAAAAACCTCTGCCGTTCCCGTTTTCAGACGGATTTCTTGCAATTCTCCAGCAAAAAGAAGCGCTGACTCAAAATGGTGTAATGATGGTTTAAGAGACGGAGAGAAGAGAGAGCTGTCACTGTAATCAATCATCCTGCTCAGCTGTGAGCACGCACCCGACGTGTGCAGCAGCAGAGATGCCACCGAGCGTGGAAGGAGGCACCAACACCTCCCTCTGGGGGTGAGGGAAGCTGCTGAGCTTCACTACAGACCGTGGTCCCCCCTCTCCGAAGATGCAGAGGAATAAAAAACGCAGCTTTGCTAACAGGAGCCCCTTAACAGAGGGGTAAAGGCTACGTACCATCGCGGCAGGAATGCAGAATCCCTGCCCACAAAAGGGCTGCTCAAAAACATCTTTCCCCTTCTCTACAAGAATGTCAAAAGAAATAAAAGGAAACTCATTTCTCTGGGGAAGAAAGCACTGCGAGACATGTTAGTGAAACAAAAGAGGGGAAAAAATGCTGAAAATGCTGCTTTCTATTGAAACAAACTATGGAAGCTGTACATGGCCCAGCCAGCACTCCAGCAGGGGGTATTTTAGTTAAGTTATATATAAAAAATTATCTCATTTTAGGGCCGTGTGTGCCTGTATATATATAAATAAATAGAAAAGTCTGCCCTTGCTCTGGAAAGAAGTGTGAGTGTGGCAGCAGCAGGGCCAGGGGGATGTTTTGGAAGGACTTGGGGCAACAGGAGAAGAGAGCAGCCGGGGCTGAGCCCGGTGCTCGGACACACGGCGTGCTGAGGGTGGCACATCCAAGCAGTGACCGCCACATAAACAGCTTCAGGGGTTGCTAGGCCATGAAAAAATATCCCCAAGGTTTTCTGGAGTTTATTTTTTTTTAAAGCTCATTCCCTTTTAAAGAGCCCCGTGAGGTTTGGGCAAGCCTCAAAGAAAGATGAAGACCAAATTCCTAATTTGTAAGGCTCTTCGTGGTGCTGAGCAGTTCACGTCCACGAGCAGCAGAGCTGCAAGCAGACACTTGCACTCCCAAGTGCCTTGCACAAGGTACGATGCTATTAAAATCATTAGAGAAAAGAAATGGTGAGAGAAATCGCAGAAATTTAAAGCTCCTTTACTCCTTTAAGGCTGACGGGCAAACGTCACATAAATCAAAATTAATACGCAAGTGCCATGGTGAAGGGAAGCATGACCACTACTGGCTACTGCCCAGCACAACAAACTTCAGGCACCGATTCTTCATCTTTTCTTTTTTCCAAATTAGGTCTCGATGTGTTCACAGGCCACTTCCAACTCAGTGTGGAGCTGAAGTGCTGGTTTCAGCCTGGTCTCGTTTCCTATTTCTCCAAGATCAGGCTACAGCCCCTTTTTGTGGGGCAGAGAACAGGGACCTCTGGTTCGTTCCTATAAAGCAGCTCCCTTCTCTCCTCCCCTGAATTCCAGCTAGTGGTGGCACACGGCAAGTGCACAGAACCAGAGAGAGCTGTGAAAAGCAGGCAAGCAGAGCAGGCGTCTCCACCAGAGAGCTGCTCTGACCTCTACTACAAGCAGACGAGCTCCAAGGGTACTTACGTCCACAAACACGGGAGCCCTTTCAATAAGATGCACAAAAAATTTCAGGGTTTGATTACGCTGCTGTTATCCCTCTTCCTCGCCATCTCCCCTTCAGCATCCTCAGCTAATTTTTCAGGGGCTTACTACCTTGCGATGCAATAAATAGATTCATGCAGCAGTTAAAAATTAAGCTGCCCATCCTTGATAAGCTGCAGAACAAACCCCTTTCATGTGGAGATGAAGACAAACTACAGCTCTCGAACAGCAGAATTCACTGCACTGAAAAGAGGAAAGTAATTAATTCTGGTTATGCATACAAAATTCTACATCTGTTTCTTTAATCAACTATCCGCACGCAGGCTGAAAAAAGCAGCTTATCTTCAAACTCCTTGATTGGGGTTTTCACTTTGAACAGCCCGTCTTCCACTGGAGCTCTTTTGTTTCCAGTCACATTACGAGCACGGCAGCGTGCTTTCAGGACCACAGTATCACAGTCATCTATCAATCTCTCCTGAAAAGTCATTTTTATTATATGCCCTTGTTCTCAGGCACATCTCTTTTGGGGATGGAAAAAGAAAAACAAAAGAGAAGCTACTGAATATTCTTACTCTCAGCCTATACCTGATTTTTTTTTAATCAAATGCCTTTAAATTAATAAAGCACGTGGTGACGATGTGCTTGGCATTCAAGGGAGGTGCAAGACTTCAGGCCTGTCAAAGGAGGCTTGACTGAAAGAGGGCACGACAGCTACACACGGAAGCCTAAACCCAAAAATCCATTCACAAAATCCTAACTGGCTGCCAATAGCCAGATGTTTGAATCCATAACGGGAGTGGGGAGGATTAAGAGTTGTATTTTGGTAAGGATATCCTTACATGGAAGCAATGCTTGTCGCAGATTTTATATTGCTGAGTTTGCCCAGCAGCAGAACAGCGTGAGGCATGGTCTCAAATCCCTTAACCTCCTGCTGGCAGCTCCCCCTATACCTGGATATATTTTAAAATCCCTTCCCTCTTTGCCCCCCAGACCATAATACCAGTGCAAGAAGCTGCCAAGGTTATCATTTAGCCTGTTAAACATTCAGTAACCTTCTTCTTTCTTCCAGTGCCTGCCTCAGGTTCTGAGGGTTGTAGCAAACGGTCCAAAACCCGGCTCGACGATGATCAGCTCTTAGGGCCACCTCGCCGTGTGTGAACAGCCAACCCCACGAGGAGCAGGAACACGTCCAAAAAAAGGCTAATCCTCCAGAAATAGCACAACTGGAGGAGACACTTACCACGGTGAGGTTGCGGATCTCCTCCATGACTCGTGGCCAGAAGGACTGGAGGCTTTGCTGGGCATCGCTGTTGCCAGCTGTACCGAAGCTGCCATCCGTGGACATGCTGGAAACTGGGAGAAAAAAAAAAGGGGAAAGGGTTAGTGCTGAGGGAAGGATGCGGGAGTCAAAGGCACGCAGATTCCCTCCGAATCCCAGGAACACAGGAAGGGGCCAGCCTGGCTCAGCGCCAGGAAAATTGGCAAAGATCTGCCAGTGCAGGTCCCGGCAACAACGTGAAAGATACTCACAGCCTCCGCAAGTGTTTGGATTTAATTTTATTTGTTTTTTCCAAAAAGAACATATAAAAAAAGAAAAGGAACTGAAGGCTGCTGATTCCTTCTTCCAGCTCTGCCTCTTCGCAAGGAGTTACAGACCACGACCATGCCCAGCCACAGCTCGCACTGCAGGGCTCACCTGCCCTACAGTCAGTTCTTCAACAGCGTGGGGACACGGCACCAAACACCCCTCAAAGTGAAGCCAGAACAGTCAATGTCAGCCTGATATTACTTCTAAAAACTGTCATTAAATCATTTCTTCTGTGCCTGTTCGCAAGGTGTCCGGTTTGGTGGATTTGCACTGTTTTAGCACACCGGCAGGATCCTGGCTCCAGCAAGATCCCTGAGGGGCAGCCGTGCCCAACACACACACATTTATACCCAGGACGGCCGAGGAGCAGAGCCCCACGGGACAGGGCTGGCACCTCCCATGCACAGAGGCACTGTGCTGAATGCCAGAAGAGTCGCTGTGAGCTTCTCCAGCAAACAGGAGCAAGGAGCCCGTGGGTTACTGGTGTTAAACGCTCCTGGGACCACCCAGAGCAGCTCTGAAGCCCCCCTGGACACGGCATCTCTGCACAACCTGCAGCAGCCGCAAGGAAATCAGCCTTTCTGTTACCTTTTCTGCAAAGACCACAAAACACAGAGAGCTGTGCACAGCCACGCAATGCCAAAAGCTCAAGTCCAACGCGAAGGCGATCCATGAAGTCCCATCAGCGGATCGGAGACGAACATCGGGTAATTAATTAGCTCAGCACCTTCCCGAGCCTACGCTCTCCAAGGCAGAGTCTAAGAGCTGCATTTTTCTTTAATTAACCTGGGGAGGATGACGAGGAGGAGCACGGATCGTGTTTGCAGGCTCAAGGCAAGAGTTCAAGACAGGGAGGACGGCGGCAGGCAGGGCTCCGATGGAAATCAGCGACCTGGGGACTCCCCGACAATTATTTGCATGACAATAGTTCAAGTATTTATAAGAAAATACAGAGAGAAATATTCTACTGACAATTTTAAACTGGCACTCGATTTCCCCCCCCTTGATCTGCGGTGTCAAATCCAGACAGAGAGGAGTTTAGGCAGATAAATAGAAGCTGATGCTTCAGATCTGCTCCGCACTGGCAATATTTCACCACCACCACCAGGCAGGGGCTTTGCTGCCACTGGAGATGCGATTCAGCCCGATGACGAGCCAAATCACTTCTCAAGGCTTTATTGAGAAATACAAATGACTTGCGTTCAACCCACTTAAAGGCTGTGCAATACAATGAGCTACAACACCCTCAGAAGCAACAGTTCCTCCAACAACCTAGAGTTCAGAAATCCTCTTGATTAATCCAAAAAATTCCTATCTTTGAGGCAGACCCAGGTTTTTTTCTGATTTCAGAAGGCAAAGTGACCAGCCTGCTGCTTGGCCAAGGGACAGCTGAGCTTCAGGAGACTGCTGCTGAGGATTGTCAGGAAACTGAGTAAGAGTCGCAGCAAGAGTCACCAACAGGGTGATTTTTTGGTAAACTTAAGAGAAAAAATAACTATAGATGCCAAAATAAAAGGCTGAACAGAAAAAAGCCTGTTAAAGTGTAAAACTTTACTCCAGAAACAAGTCTGCAGCAGGACATAGATCCATAAATGGCTTTGAAGATGCCATTAGAGGAAGACTGAAGAACAACAAAACACCCACAATTTTATGTGGGGACTGCCAAAGTCCCCAAAATGGCTAAATCCGAAGGGAGAGGCTGAAAAGCAACGAGATGGAAATTCGGACAGACGCTTTGCTTCAACATCCTTCGATTACAGCCACAAATCAGAACAAAACGAGTATTTCTGAAAAACAGCACTGCAAAAAAAGCCCCTCCCAAGGTTTTAGCACCATTCAAATCCAGAATTACCACCTCCAGAGCGCTTCGAACCGCCGCCGCCTCCCCGACAAACCACGCTCCCCTTTACGGTGCATTTGGGTTCACATCATCTGCCAGCGCTCAGGACTCACAAGAAGGGCTACAGTCAGAGGTGGCGTTACAGAAAAGGAAAAAGAAGCAGTTCATTTCCTTTTTTTTTAATATTTTTTTTTCTTTTCCTTTTTTAAATACACCACCTTTAAGAGCAAGGAGTCAAAAACCAACGTCACGGCGCCCAGCAACAACCGAGCCTGGCAGCCTGAGGAGTTAAACGTAGGTCCATAGAGCTGAAAAATTATTATTTTTAATAAACATTTCATCTGTGGCACTTTCGGCCCCATGTGCCCACAAAACTGCAGCGTTCTGGTTTGGGAGCCTTGATTAAAAAGTAAAATGTGCCGAGCCACACTCGCGTATCTGAAGAATGAGCTCCGTGTACAGCAGCAGACACCTGATCCTGCCACATCAGGAGGAACAATCTAGCGACCAAGAGCTGGTTTCACGAGAGGAACACATCGTTTTATGTGCATTTAGCACAAGGCAACACAGATACTTTCAAATCCACGCCCTTCATGAAATAAGATCAGATTTATTGCACTTACAACTCCCAGCCACGTGTTCCTCAAAGGCCCAGGAGCTGAAGCACACCGCAGAGCTGGAAATATAAAGGTGCCAGAGCACCAAGCACAGAGTTACTTTTACCTGCATTGGGGGATGTAAAAATATCGTTCGAGATCAACGGCTCCTTCTTCTTCCTGAATATTCAGGCCTTGCCTGTGCAGTCACGTGAAATGGTTTTAAATAATGGTGTGGTTGGGAAATTTGACTCTCGGTGACCGCAGGCGGGCAGGCATTTCTGCCAAACCAGTGCCATGGATGCTGCGGGGTCAACTGCTGCACCTCTGGTCCATCACAGCTCTAATTTGGGTTGGAAAGCAGTGAGGGCTGAAACAACTCCTGCTGCCACCTCTCCCACGTGCCAGGAGCCTTCCAGAAGGAGGAATCCTGAATCCTTTCAGCATGGAATCCTTATGATGATTTTTTTGCAGATCAGCTTGGGGCATCGTAGCCAACACCTGTATGGGATTGTCCCAGAACTGCCTTCCCCACGTACATCCACCTTCTCCTCACCTGAAGGCACCTTTGGAGGAAGCAGGGTGCTTTGTAAAACCCTCCAGCTCAACAGGTACCAATTTATTTCGCTGCTTTCAGCACACGCGACACCATCAGGCCACAATCCTGGAATTCCAGTCCTAGATGAAGTGGCCCAGCTCCACCTCCCCGTTACGAGGTGGAAAACACTCGGGAGATAACACAAAACTGCTCTTACCATTCTGTGTATACTGCAAGTCCTTCAGCACATCACAGCCGTGGTGATGCCGTCAGAACTAACACCACCACGCACAGGTAACAAATCACAAATAAAGCTAATGCTCAAACATGGGCCAAAATCATTCACCCCAAAGATATAGGAACTCTTTTCCATTCCTGTAAGACGCCTAAATATCCAAGGCAGCTTTTCAGGTAGTGGGATAAGGTCACACTCACAAACCTACAAGGTTCTGAGGCCCCACTCTGGATGAAAATGCAAACTTCCAAATTTCCAAAGCAAACCCAAGAGGCTTTCTACAAAACCAATTTAAAATCCAAACGCTTCCTTCCAGCTCACCATCACACGAAGCTGCTGCAATTGCTCAGATTTATTTCAACCTTTCCCTGCTGCAGCATCGCACACAGTCCCTGCACAATGCTGGCACCCCAAATTGCTGCTCCCAGCTGTGGGAGGATCATTCCAGGGCGCTGGACAAGGTGCACGTTCGTACATTTCCCTGGTGGTCAGGAGAGTTCAATCCCAGCCTAAATTACCTGCGGAGGGCACCGAGTGCTTCTTGCCTCAGGTCTTTAAGAGAAGGTTGCACAAACAAGTCAGGAAGGGCTCCCGTCGGGTTGGGCTTGCCTCGGGGCAGAAGCATGAACAGGATGACCTCTTCGGGTGTCTTCCAGCCCTTTCTTCTCGGAGCACTTAGCAGCCTGCATTTTATCTTCAAAGCACCGTTTGAACATTGCCTGCCCGATGCCTCCAACACGTTACTTCTGCTCTCACTCCTCCCGGGCACGGCGTTTGATTTCAGCCCAAAGGAGCTGTGAGGCCAAGGCGAGGGGGGCCTGGATGGCCACCTCCAACACACGGCCCCTTAACCCCAACCTGATTTTGCTCATGCAGAGCAGAAATTGCCCCGATAACCTCCCTGACACTGAGTCCGATACGGAATTACAGCCTGGATCTTGCCGAGAGCTGCACGAAGCCACAACCGAGCCCAAACCTCCTGCTGGACGTGGTGCTGCCTGGGCAGGCTCGGCAGGAACGAGAACTGCTGCTGCAAACTGCTTCGGGGACAGGGGACGAGGGAAAATCCTACAGCACCTGGAGAAAACGTGGTGAGCTCCGTACCTCAATGCAGCAGGCACACAATGGGATGAGAGTCTCGGGCAGGCCATTGTCAGTTAGCTTTGCCCCTTCAGGAGAACAAAAATCCCAGGAATTGTACCCAATTTATAACACCCGAGGTTTCTATTTGCAGTGCAACGAGTGCCGAACAGCCCCGCTCAAAGCCCCCCGTCCTCATTAAACCGCGCACAGGAAGGCTGAAGACGCGCGCAGCCTATTTTTAATTCTGGGCAGGGTTTTGTGCCTGCACATAAATACACCCGAGGCTCGTACGAGAAAGCCACGAGCAGGATGGCATGGCACAGAAACCACACTACAAATTGCGAGCCGGCCTCCAAGCCAAAAAGCCAGGCTGCAAAGATTAAACCACCACATAAAAACCAGCGCTGGACTGGTTTTCTTTTAAAAGTTAGAGCAAACAAAATAATCTGGATTGCTGTTTGCACGGGTTATTTTACTTTCCTTTCTTCTTTGACTGAAGGAGCACAAGGGTCACCCTTGATATTTGGTATTTCAACAGTTAAACGTTATTAAATAGCTGCTGTTTGCAGCGCAGTTTTGGCAGGCACGGAGCAAGCAGCAAAGGGAGAAAATTCCCAGACAAATAATAACAAGTGTCTACCATGAACCCTGCTGGCTCCTCAGCTCCTAAATTAAGCAGCCAGCAGAAATGGAAAAGCTCTTTTAAGTGAGGAGCCTTCAAGTCAGGCGAGTCTGCTTCACACAACAAGGCAGTTGGTGCGCACAGGGACAAGGCTGCAGCTTGGGCACCTGGCTCCAGAGCATCCGACCTCAAGGAACCCGGCACAAAATCGCCTTGCTGCCTCCAATGGTTGGAAGAATTTACAAGTCACGCACCTCACGATGCTTCTCCTGCTCCTGGGACATTTTATTTGCTCCCCTTTAGCCATAGCTTTAACGGGGATGGCACAGAAAACGTGGCACCAAGCTGACCTTACCACGTTTTACACCGCCTCTGCCTTCACGAGCTGTGCCTGCGCTGTCACACAGCTCACCGGGGAGAATCGTGGGGCAGCTCCTTGCTCTCAGCATCTCTCCAGACCCAAACTTTCTGGGGATGATATATTTTGTAACCCAGTGCCTGCTTCCAGCTTTGGGGGGCTCCTGCTCGGTGTCCGCCAACAGCTGGACACCAAAGGCTCCCAAAAGCTGCTCCTGAGCAGCATTTGGGGTACTATGAGCGGGGTCTCACCTGGATTTTGGGGGAATTTGCTCGTATTTTAGGCAACTGAAGTTCTTCTGGCAGCGCCAGGAGCACACCCGGTGAGCGTGGATGGATCAGACAGCCCGGGAGCTTGCTGTTAAGCCGCAGTCCTGGAATATTCTGAATGATTTATAAAGGATTCTGCATGAAATTAAGAGCTCCTGTGCAGCAAGCCCTCCGAGTGCCCTCGCGTTTTCTCAGCCCTTCGATACCCTCACAGCTTCGGTGGCTGAGGAAGCTGAACGGGGTGATCACGGGGCAGCAGCTGGACCATGAGGGTGATCGCTGGACACCGCAGCACACCTCGGGCACGGTTATGCCTCGAGTTGAGCACGTTTCTGTGCTCTTCTGCTGCATTTTTTAGCCTCGGCCACCGCCACGCTGCTGGAGAGGGAAGAGGGCAAGGCAGAAAGCGTGATTAAAACCACACCACGGCAGCTACAGCAGGGGATGCAACCTACAAAAGATGAATGACAAACGTGAGACGTTCACAGAAGCCTGGGATGGATTTAGAGCAGCGAGAGGCTGGGCCAGCTGTGAGCAGGCACATCTTGTGGGAACCTCGTTAGTCCTGGTAGAAAACGAAGTGAGCGTACAGGCTTTGGGGGGCTGCGGGGTGATTAGGATGCTCCGTGTTCCTATTTCCCTCTTTACTCAGTTTTATACCTTAAATTATCAAAGGGCATGTTGGAAAATTAAAATAATTATTGTTGTGGACACAGACACGAGATTTCTGCCACCCAGGATCTGCAGATCTGGCCCCAGTGAGCTCAGCCCACAGCGCTCAGCGGGCAGACAGGAGGGTGCAGGCAGCCCTGATTGTTTTCACCCCATCCTGGGCCATAAACATGCAAATTTTTGGGGTCACCTTCAGTCAACGAAGGAGCCGACTCAAAGTGACCCACTTCCATCCACCAGGAAGTGACCGAACGTGACAGTGAGCCGGAGGCGGCGGAAGAAAATCCCCTGAATGAGAGCTCAGCACACAGAATTATTTTCTTTTTTTTTGAGAAGAAAAAAGACGACACACAACAAAAAACAAAACTTCCTGGAGCTCCTGGGGAGCTCTGGCAGCGATCCTGAAGGTTGATCCTGCAGCCAGTGCCCCTCGTAGCAGTCACTACATTTTTTGAGGACTAGGAAGGCACACTGGTAAATTGTCTTTTTTTTAACCAAAACGGTAAGGGAAGAGGTGGAAGTGACCAATCAGGCAAATTTAATTCCCTTACGACATCGATGTGCCTTGAAATTAGGAAACCGCTTCGCGTGCCCACGCTGCTGGAAGGCAGATGTCACCACGGCGGGGAAAGGCAGGACCCTGGCCTGATTAAAAACCAAATTAAGAAGGAACCGGGCTCTGGCTGAAGGGGCTGAGGGCACCACCTCCCTCCCACCCGCACACCAAATCCCTTTCCAAGCCTCGTGGCTTTCCTGCTGCTCCTCACCTGTGATGCTCAGGCAGCACCTTCCCTTACACCTGGACGGCCTTTTGCAAGCTCTGGCACTGAAATTAGGTTAATATTGGCTGTAATGGGGATTTCTGCAGGATTTCTTATTTACATCAAGGCCTCCACACGTTCCCTCGCCTTCTGCTACCCCTTAAAGGCAGGCAGCAGCTCAACGCACCCCAATTTCAAGGAAAAACGCCTTAAAATGTTTCCAAACAATGAGCTCCATCCCTGCAGCACACCCTGACCTGCTGCGGATCTGAGTGCTACTGGGGCGTCCTGGAGAAACCCCCCAGTGCTCCCAGTGCTTACTGGGACGGCTTCCACTCTGCCCCTTCACTTCTCAGATCCGAAACCAGCACCAGGCACCACGACCAGGGGACGTTGCCTACTGGTCTGAACTGGGATGGAGGCACTGAAACAACCCCGGGGGCTGCCACGGCTCGGGGACAGCTCCGGGTTGGGGTCAGCCCCCTGCTTGCCCCTCTACTCACCCTATAGAAAGGTGCTGAGCAACACCAGCACCTTCAGGTCCTAAAGGAGCAGTTTTAAGGCCAACAGGGAGCAGATTTGGGGCAGAAAAGGGCCAAGAGGAGGGCTGCGAGTACCTGCAGCACAGATTAGGGTGGCAAGGACCCCCAGCACCCCCCAGCCAGGAGGACCCCCACCCCCGTGCCCCATCCCCGGCATCAAACCCGCCCCATCTCCACCTGCATCCACCCCCCGTGCCCCCGGTGCCCCGGTGCGCAGCCCCCGTTTCCCACCTTTATTATTTTTTAATTTTATTTATTATTTATTAATTCTCACCCAAAGTGCCGCCGACAAACTTTGTCCTTCCCCCCCCCCCCCCCCCCCGGAGCCGTGCGGCCGGGCAGCCTCAAGGTCACCGGTGCTGCTGCTGAGAGCCGGCCTGGAGCTGCCCCCTCCCGGCCCTCGGAGCCAAGGGGGGGGGGAGCTCGGGGGCTACCGGTGAAGCCCCGGTGCCCACCGGCAGGGCCCGGTGGGGGGGGTGTGAGGGGGGGGGGGGGGGGCAGAGGAGCCGCTTTCCATCCCCCCCCCCCCCCCCCGATCTGCGGCACCCGGTGACCTTCAGCCCTATGGGGGGGGGGCCCTATCGGGGGCACCCCCCCCCCCCATACCGGGGCTGCTCCGGTTGCACCGGGGCCGGCTCCGTGGGGCCGGGCACTACCGGGGGAGCCCCCCCCGCGTCCAAGCGGTGCCACCGGGGAAGGCGCTGCCGGGTCCTTCCCCCCCCATCCCCTCCCCTCCTCCCCCCTCATCCCCTCCCGTTACCGGGTGCGGCCCAGCCCCCCCCCCACCCCCCCCTAGGCCTCACCGGGGGCTCAATCCCGGGCCCCCCCCCCCTCAAGGCCTCAACCCCGCCGCCCCGTGTGGGCCTTACCGGGCCGCGGGAGGCTCGGGGCTCGGGCTCCGTGCTGGGAATGGCGGCGCTGAGGCGCGGGGGGTGTCGGCGGGGCCCGCCATGGCTTTGTCTTTCAGCTGACCCCTGCCCGCCGCCGCTCCGCGTCCCCGCCGCACCGGGGGCCGCCTGGCCCTTTAAGAGCCGCCGCTCAGCCTACCCTGCTGGGCCCGCCCAGCTCGCTCCCATTGGCTGAGAGCAGCGGGGGGAGCCGCGGCCCCGCGTTCCTATTGGCTGCCGGAGGCGGCGCAGCCCGGCCGCCCGCTTCCTGTTTGCAAGTTACCTTGAGAGGCGGCGCAGGGGTCAGAGCAGAGCCCGCCCGCGGCCCCTCGGCGCCGAGGCCACGCCCCCAGGCTCCCATTGGTCGGTCAGGCACGCGGAGGGGGCGGGGCGAAGCCGCCGATTGGCCCGCGCGGCTGTCGCTCAAGTGGGGTTGCTCCTCCCCCCTGCCCCGCCCCTTCCAGCGGCGCGTCCCGGGGCGCGGGGTCAGGGCTGGGGGGGGGAGGGGGGGGGGAATAAAAATAAATAAAATAAAAAATAAAATAAAATGAAATAAGTATAATAAATGGAATATAATATAGAGAGATAGATGAAATATAAAAATAGATAGATGAAATATAAAAATGTATTAAAATATTAAGATATGAATATAAGATATAAAAATAAATGAAAATAAAATATAAAAGTTATGTTAAAAGAAACTAAAATATAAAAAATAAATAAAACAAATTAAAAGGTGATGCCCAGGCTGGTCCCTGCCTCACCAGGGCTGCCCCGCAGCCCCCCAGCAGCACACGGGCCCAGCCATAGGGACCAATACAACCGCTGGATAATAATTATTGCTATTATTATTGCTGTTTTGTTATTAATTATCATTATTATTTAATTTCCGGAGTCACAGTGGGCAGCTGAGCTCCGGCACTGCCCCAATCCCACGGCGAGCATCCCACCACGAGGCTACGGGGAGGCGATGGATCCCGCACCACCCGGGGCTGGCACCGGGGTGCCACAAGACCCCCGCCACCGACCAGGGGTCACCTCCTGGGGGGGGGCACGAAGCCACCGGGGACCCGGCCGGCACCGCAGGGCCCGAGCCCAGCTCAAGGTCACGCAGCTGCCCGGGGGCTGCTGCCCCCCTCGGCCTCCCCCATCCTCACTGGGGGCAAGCAGCTCGGCGCCCCGAGCTCCCCCAAAGCCTCCCGGTGCTGCGCTGGGCAGCCCAAGGTCACGGGCAGCCAACCGGAGCCCCAAGCGAGGGCAGCACAAGCAGCGGGGGCTGCCCGAGGGCGGCAGAGTTACACCGGGAGGTGGCCGAGCACCGCCAGGCCCGCACCGGGACACGGCAGAGGCGGGGGAGGCTTCAACCGAGCAGAGGCAGCGCTGGGAGGGGGCCGGGACCCCCGCTCCTTCCCCCCCCGGGAGCACCGTGAGGCCTGGCAGGGCCCCGGAGGGAACGGGAAGGGAACGGGAGGGGAACGGGGCCGGGCCCCGCGCAGCCCCCGCCCCGCTCCCGTCAGCGGGGCCGCCCCCAGGCCCTGCTCCCCCCCCTCAGGCCCTGCCCCGCGGCCTGCAGGCCCCTCACCCCCCTACACGCACCGGGAGGCCCCGGACCGTTACCGGGCTTCGGCCTCTCCCCCTTAGAGACCCCCCCCAGGAGGCTCCGGGGATAGAAAAAGCCCCAAAAAGCCGCCAAAACCCGAAAAGGGCCCAAAAACACCGCGCCCCCCCCGCCTTGGTGCCTCCCCCCCGCCCCTCCCGCTTCCCCCCCCGCCGCCCCCAGCCCCGACTTCCTGCCCCCTCCCGCCCCGCTCGCGCGCGCGCGCTCAGCAGCCAATCATCGCCCCGCTCCCCCCGCGGCACCCAATCAGCGCCCAGCTCCCTTCTCCCGCCTCCACCCCCTCCGCCAGCCAATCAGCGGCGCGTGAAGCGGCGCGGAGCAGCCAATCGCAACCCAGCAGCCCGGGGTGGGGGCGGGGGATGGAGGGGGAGGGGGGAGCCCCTCAGGGCCGCCCCCGCCCCGCGCCCCCTCCGCCGGCCGCCGCCGCCGCCTCCCCCCCGCCCCTCGGCCCCGCCACTCACCGGCCCCAACGAGCGCCGCGAAGCCTCCGGCCGGGCTGGGAGGAGCCCGCGTTGCCCCCCGGGCCCGGCTGGCAACGGGAGAGGACCCGGAGGGGAGGGGAAGGGGAGGAGGGAGGGGGGGGGGCGGCGGCGGGAGCCCGGCGAGCGCCCAGCGGCCGCGGACCAAGATGGCGGCGGCGCCGTGAGGCGGCTCGGGTGGGGGCCCCGCCCCTTCCCCCCTTAGCGCCGGCGCAGCGCGCAGGCGCGTGACCCGCGCCGAGATCTCGCGAGACGTTCGCGCTGAGGCGGCGGCGGTTGGGCCCGCACCGGGCCCGCTCCCCTCAGGCCCCGTCCCGTGAGGCCCCGCCGGGCCCTGTGGGGGCTCCTCGGTAGCCCCCCGTTATCCCCGGTTCCCCCCGGTTCTCCCCGTGATGGCAGCGCGCTGCCTCAGTAACCCCCGGGCCCTGAGAGGGAGCGCCCGGGGGCCGCCGCCGTGAGGCGGCTTCCCCGTGAGGGAACGGCTCCGCGCCGAGTCGCGACTGGTATATCGCGATAGAAAATAACCCAGTCGTGTGCCTGGGCACCGTCCTGTGCGGCTCCAGCACCTTCAGGGCGGGTACCACCTCCCGTCAGGCCACGCCGAGTCGCGACTGGTATATCGCGATAGAGAGAACCCAGTCGTGTGCCTGGGCCCTCCCGCCTGCCCCACACACGGGCAGGACCCCGGGCTCCGTTGCTCGTTTGCCCCAGTTGCAGGAATCGGGACGGATCCCTGCGGCCACACGCGCTGCTTTCAAAGCCAGGGCTGACGCTGAAGAGGGAGACGTTTTACAGCAAATTCCTGCAGTTTTAGTAAAAGTCCTGCGACTTCACAAGCTCAGGGCGACTTCACAAGCTCAGGGCGACTTCACAAGGCGAGGCGCAGCAGCCAAGGGAAATACCGGCTTGTTTTTCTTCCCCTCCCCGTTCTCACGAGTCCTCAGCGAAGCCTCCTTGGGCTGCGGCGCTCCCCTCATCGAAATGACTCATTTATAAATCAATTAGCCAGAACCTGCCGCTGGCTCTGCTGCCAGGCGCAGCTAAACAGCCAGCTGTGCCTCCTGCGGGGTTCCTCCCCACCCACCCCTTCTCCCCCCTGCCTTTTTGTGGGTCCCCCTGACGTTTTGTGGGTCCCCCTGATGTTCTGTGGGTCCGTGCTGCCCCCATTTCCCCTCCCCACCTGCTCTCTCGGGGCAGCAATGCCCGCGTTGTGCGGAGCAGCCCCGGCTTTCCCCGAGGCGCGCAGCCATCTGCAGGCACAGAGCTCCCTGTGTCAGCCTGCCCGAAACGTGGAGCAGCCCAAAAAAAAAAAAAGACAAGAAAAAAAAAAAAAAAGCTTTTTCCGCTCTCTGTTTTATTGGTGCTTGCATAATTTTTTATTTTATTTTTTGTGGTTTGCTGATTTCACACTTAGCGCCATCTGCTACCTGCTCAGCCAATTCCTCCTGCGCCAGCAGGACCCAGAGGAGCTGTAGCACACCCTGGGCAGGTTTTGGAAGGGGTTTTTGACCCTTTTGACAGCTCAGAAATGGGAAAAATCATAAAGCTGAGAGCAGGGGCTGCAGCCCGGCCCTTCCCCAGGCAGCCCTCTGCCGTCCCACCCCACACAGCAGGCCTCGAGGCACCCCAAACCAGCTGCTGCTCTGGGGCAGCCATCCCCCAGCAAAGAAATGAGCAGAAAATTAAAATCTGGACGTAAATTATGCCTGGACACGGACACCCTGCCTTGTAAATCAGGCTGGAAAGCAGCATTTTTAGGGCCAGATCTTGTTCAACAGATAATGTTTGCTATCTAATCAGATTTCGTTTAATTACATTTCAGTCGCCCTGCCCTCGGCCGCGCATCTTTTGGAGGACCTGCAGCAACCTGGGGCGTTGAAAGGAAAACCACCAGATTGAGCAACGGGACAGAATGCTCTGCTACTGCTCTCCTGGGGACACCAGGAGAGGGAAGGGACCTGCTGCCACCCCCGACACAAGGACCGTGAGTCACGGCAGCTGGGGAAGCTCAAATCCCGAGTTCCCTCGATGCCCCCAGCACCTTTTTTTCCCCACCTGAGCACACCGTGCAGCCCGGAGCAAAGCAGATAATGGGACACTCTGCTGCCAGGGGTGCAGAGCAGGCACCTGCCCAGCCACGTTTCGCGGGTTTTTGCAGAATTCATTCACAAAATAAATAAAACCCAACCTGGAGTTATGAAATCTGTAAAACCTGATGAGCTGCAAAGGAGCCGAGCCGCCCAGCCCGGCCCTGACCTGGCTCTGCAGGGAGCTGGGATCCAGCTCAGTTCCTTCAAGCACCACAAAGCCGAGCCCCGTGAATCCTCCTGCATCACCTTCACGTGATAACAGCTTTAAACAGCCCCCTTTTCCCCAAAACCACCCCAAAACACAAAGGAGGAAGCGGCAAGGATGCCACAAGCCGAGGCGTTGGTGGCTGCTGGCTGAGGGGCCCGGGGCGACCTGCCAGGAGGAGAAAAAAACCCAGAGGGGCAGCGAGGGAGCTTCGTAGCGACCACGCTGCAGTGCCTGATATTTTATTCATCGTGCTTTATCACCGAAACGTGGCAGGCAAGAAAAAAAAAACACCAACCAGCTGCAGGAGGGAGACGGGAGCAGCTTTCCACCAGCCAGGCACGTGTTGTCGCTATCTCTTCCCCGGAAAGGATTCGTTCCCAGCAGCGCCGCCGGTCCCAGCACGCTGCAGCCTCGTTTGATGGACTGGCCTTTCCTGCGGAGGTATTTTCAGCTGTTTTTTTCTAAATATTACTCATAAAGGCCCCCCTTCCAGACAACCTCTCTCCCTCCCCGCGTTTGTTTATACGCTTTGAATTCTGTTAGGAAACCGGCTCCCTACCCCGGCTCTGTTTTATCCACGTTTCCATATTTAGTTCTTTCAGCTATTCCTGCTCCTCGCCCGGCTCTCCCCGCACGGCACCGGGACCCGCCGCGTCCCCACATTCCATCCAGCACCCCGAGGGGCTTTTCTCCCCCATCCTCCCCGTACCCACACTCGCCCGTTGCACCCTTCCACCCTCCAAATCCCAAATCACCCCCGTGCCCAGCACGGGGACGTTTGTAGGGGTTTTGCTCACGAGGGACAGGGATTTGGTGCCATCCACAGCCCCGTGACCCCACAGGGTGAGGTGGGGAGCCCGGGGAAGGCCGAGCGTGGCGTTATTTTGGGGAGGGACAGAGTTAAAGCGGGCGAAGGAGGCTTCCCTCGTGGCACGTGGCTGCCATGCCAGCCGCGGGGCGCAGCCAGCGCAGGGGAGGAATTTGCCGTGAGGACAGCGAGGCGCCAAGGTGAGTCCAAGGGCAGCGCGGGCACCGGGGCCGCCTCTGCCCTCGGATTTTCAGTCTCCTTTGGAAGGGGTCGGGGCACGCGGCGGTGTCCCCGTTCCCCCAAAAGAGCCGTGTTCGGGCACAAAGCAAAGCCCCGCGGCCCCCTCATGGCCTCACAGCCTCGTGGCACCGCCACCACAGCTCCTGTCTGTGGGTTGGGGGCACCGACGGCGAGTGGGGATGTCCCAGTGGGCAGCTTGTGGGGTTGGGATTGGATTTGGGGGGTTTTGGAGGAGCAGCACCCATGGGGTGGCAGCTCCGGGTCCGGCTGGAGGCTCCCCAGGGGGGAGCAGGACCCGAGGGCAGCTCCTGAGGGTCCAGCTGGGGGGAGCAGGGCCTGGCCGGTGGCTCTGGGGTCCAGCTGGGGGCTTTGGGGTCCGGGGATCCCAAAGCAAGTTGCAGCCTGGTGGCTCCTGAGGTCTTGGGGTGGTTCTTGGGATCTGGGTGATGGGGAAGGGGCAGCTCCTGGGGGCCAACCGATGGGCTCAGGCTCCGGGTGGGGGCTCTTGGGGTCCAGCAAGCAGCTCCAGGGGGCTCTGATTGTTGGCTGTAGGGTCCCGCTGGGGGCTCTTGGGGTCTGGGTGATGGTTTTAGGGTTCCATTGGGGGCTGTAGGATCCTGTTGGGGGCTCCTAGGGTCCAGCTGATGGCTGTAGGGTCCCACTGGGGACATTTGGGGTCCAGCTGATGGCTCTTGGGGTTCAGCTGACAGCTGTAGGGTCCCGCTGGGGGCTTTTGGGGTCCAGCTGATGGCTTTAGGGTCCCGTTGGGGGCTTTAGGATCCCACTGGTGACCTTTAGGATCCGGCTGCTGCAGGGCAAGGCGCAGCCGGTGGCTCCCGAGCGGGCTGGACGGGGGCAGCTCCCGGCTCCCCCCGACGGCTCCGGGGCTCAGCTCTGGGGGGGTGGGGAGGGGAAACCCTAACGGGATGGGGGGCATCTCCCGGGGGCTCCCCCGGCCCTAAAGCATCGGGGCCGAGCCCGGGGCTCCCCCGCCCGCCGCTCCCAGCAGCCCGCCGGGGCCGAGGGGAGGAGCGGGCACGGGCGGCGGCAGCGGCGGCGGTGGCGGTGAGTGCCCGCGGCGGCGGCGGGGAGGGGTCGAGGGGGGGCGCACCGGGGGCGTCCCGGTCCCTTTTGGGGTCAATGGGGCCGCACCTGCAGCCCCGCATCCCCCACGGGGGCGGCCCGGGGGATGCCGTCGTGCCCGGGAGGAACGGGACGGGAGCCCCGGGAACCCCGGGGGGGGGCACGGCGAGGTGGGGGGCACACGGGGATGGGGGTCCCAACCCTTAGGGGCAGCCCCGGTGCGCGCCGCCTGCCCCGGGAGGTGCCCCCGGTCCCCCCCCGGTTTGCAGCCTCCTGCCCCAAACGGGGACAGGGGCACCCCAAAAGCATCCCCGTGCCCAAAGAGCGGGGCTGCGGGTGGGCTGCCAGTACCGGGGGGGCACCGGGGGTCGTGCACCGGGACCCCCACCCCACACCCCCCCCCCCCAAGGCTTTTGGGGTGTTGTGGGGGGGGCGATTCCCAAGCAGCGGTTCAGGACCGGGAGCGCTTTCCCGTGCCATCCATCATCCCCGCTGAAAGCCCGTTGACGTCAACCCCGTCCCGTGCACGCCTGGGCCTCGCCGGGGGGGACACGGGGGTAGGGACCGGTCGAGGTGGGGGGTCCGTCCGTCCGTCTGTCCATCCTGGGGGGGGCTCAGGGCATCGCCTCGTGGCCCCATCCCGATCCCAAGCCCCATGGGACGCCGGCGCTCGCCTCTCACCTCTTGGTCGTGCTCCATCCATCTGTCTGTCTGTCCATCCATCCGTCCGTCCTGCTTGGTGGATCTGGAGACCCCCCCGTGGGTGGTCCCGGGGAGGGGGGGGTCCCAAGGGGTGACCCCCACTCTGCGGGGGTCCTGTGGGGTTACCGAGCACGGCACGAGGGGCCCCGTCCCGGTCCTCTCCCGGTGCACCTCCAGGACGCGGCGTTTTGGGGGGACCTCGCTGGATTTTGGGGGGGCCAACGGGGTCAGTGCCCACCCCCACGTGCCCACGGTGCCCCCGCACCGCTCCCTGCTCCCCCCGAGGTCTCCCCATCCCTTTTCTCCAGGCCCTCCTTGGAGCCTTTTTGATGCATTTAGGGGATGAGATCGCGGTGTCTCAGCCATCCTCACGCACCCCAAACCGGGGGGGGTCCCCCCACAGCCCCCCCTCAGCCCCATCCCTTGCTGCCCCTTGAGCCCCACAAGCTCCAGGGTGTGGAAACACTGATCCTACTGCTTTTTAGGGCCCGGGCAGCGCAGCACCGTCTCCTCGCATCCATTTCGAGGCGCTTCGGATGTTCTGTGCCTGACCGTGGGGGGGTCGCAGCAGGTGCCCAGGAGCCCCCCCGTGCCCCAAATTCAGCTGTAGGGTGGTGGAGGAAGGCTCCTGTGAGGCTCGTTAGGGTGAGCTGAGCCCCTTTTAGCCCCTTTTTTTTTTTTTCCTTCAAAAACAAACTGCCATGGGGCCACGCTCACTGCTGGACACGGAGCTGGGGGGGCAACCAAACTCCTGGACCACCCCCCCCGGTGGGTTTGGGGCACTCGTCCTGGAGCTGTGGGGCTGCTCCTGGGGAGCCCAACTGTTGGATCTGCTGCGAGCGGGAACAAAAATCATCCCCAAAAGACTCCAAATTTGGGTTCGGACCCCAGGGCTCCTCGCAGCCCCAAAAAGCACCACCCCAAAAGGCACAGCTAACAGGGGGGAAAAAGGGGGGGGGAAAAAAGCAGGGAGCTGGCTGCCAGGGGAAGGGAAGGAGCTGCTTGGGGGGGGGGGCAGCAGCAGCAGCCAGAGCCGCTCGCTCGCAGCCCTGCCCCTGGAGGAAGCAGCTCCATGAAATATTGATGGGATTCGCCGCGCGAGCTGCATTGCGGAGCCCCGCACCGGGCAGGCAGGGAGGGGCTGCCCGCCCCATAGCCCCCAGCCCCACACGTTGTGCCCCCCCTTCCTCCCAGACCCTTCAGCACCCATGGGAGACCCCACCCATAGGGAGAAACGTGTGGAACGTGCTCCTGCCCCCCCCCCCCATAGCCGGGGATGGGGACCCCATAAGCAGCAGCACCCCTAAAGGGTGAGGATTTGGGGTCAGCACCGAGGGACCCACAGCATTGGGGTCTGTGGGGTGGCTCCCCCCTGGCTGCGCCCCCCCCGCAGCCCCTTTTGATCCCTGCTGTTGCCCTGGGTAACGGTGGGATTCGGCACAGAGCTGATTTCACCCCACCAACGTCACACGGGGACAGGGACAGCACGGTCAGGGCACCGTCCCCGGGGTCCTGGCATCTCCAGGGGGCTCAGCCCGGGGGTAATGGGGTGCCCCCCCCTGCTCCCAACCCCACAAAGTGGGGGCATGAGGGTGCTGTGCCCCCATCTGTCCCTCCTGGAGGTGTCCCTGAGCTGGGGGAGCAGAGCCCAGCCTGGGGGGCACCCCGAGGTGCTCACCCCAGCCGGGGAGGGGCTGCTCCTCTCCCCCAGGACCTCCCTCAGCCCCCCGGGACCCCCGTGGCATCGTCCCCAGCAGGAGCTCCTCATCCTCATCCTCATCCTCATCTTCATCCTCACCCAGCCTCAGTCCCACAGCAGCTGGGCCCTTTCCTGGGCTCCCCAGAAGGTTCCCCCCCCGGCAGCCCCTCAAGCTCAGCACACACAGGGCTGAGCTTGAACTGGGTTTTAAGGAGAAGCAGGGAAAAAAAGGGAAAAAAGCTTTGTTTGGGATCAAACCTGGGCTTTGGGGCAGAACTCCCTTCTCTAAGCTCCGCTCATCCTGCCAGTGGGGTGCACGCAGCCCCCTCCTTGAATTTTGGGGTTCCTGTTCCCTGTGGGGTGCCGTGCCTCACAGGGAGCCCCCCATTATTGGGGACACCCCCTGGGGACACCCCATAGAGGCCCCAAACCCCCTCTGTGCCCTTCCTAACAAATTGGGCATCTTATCAGGTGCTCCTTTATCTCCTCCGCCCCCATCAGGGACCCTTCCTCACCTGTGCGGGGGGCACCACCCGGCTCCTCCCCCCCCCTCAGCCTTTGTCAACATCCCCCTTTTTTCTGTCAAAGCTCCGTTCTTGCAATTAGTGCCGTTATTGTTAATCACCTAGCGGGGTGTTTGGGGTCCCCACTGTACAGGGCTGGCTGGGCACCCCAAATACCCGTGACCCCCTATCCCCGCTCCCCCTCTTCCCACTTCCAGCATCATCCAGCGGGGACCCTTTAGGGGCTGTGGGGGTCTCGTAGGGGCTGTGGGGGCACCCCCTGCGCCCCCCCACCCCTTTGGTGTGGCGATGCCCGCGGTACTGGGCTCATACTGGGCTCATACTGGGCTCGGGGCTGGGAGAACTGGGTCAGCTGGGTAACCATGGAGATGCTGAAGCAGCGCGGGCACAGCCCCGCCGCCACAAACCTTGCAGGATTTCACCGGGCTGGCACCCTCCGTCCGCAGCGGAGCCGGGGAGGGGGGCACACATACACAGCGGGGTGCCCCCACCTGCACCGGGCGGTAAGGGGGTCGCTGCTGTCCCGTGCCTATAGGGTGGGGTTGTTTTTTTAGGGGGGGGCTGTGTTGGTGATGGAGATGCGGGAGGGGAGCCGTGCTCCCGGCCATCGCGCTTCTCCTGCATGTTGCGCATCGGCTCTGGCGAGCTGCGGGTTTCGGGGGGGGGATTTTAGGGTTGTGACATCTCCCCCCGGACCCCCCCAGCCCCTCGCTTGGTCCCTGGGGGCTCGGCGTTGAGCCCAGCCTGCGGGGAGGATGGGGCTCGGCCTCTGGGGCGCTGCTGGTGGTGGTGGCGTGGCGCGAGGCTGGCGGTAAGGGGCTGGAGGGGGCTGTGGGCTCTGCCCCCCCCCCTCAAGTTGGGGCTGGGGGCTCTGTGTGGGGTGGTGAAGGGGCTTGCATGGGGCTGAGCCACTGCCGGAGCACGGGCAGAAGGAATGAAGCCTGGAGGGTGGGCGAAGGGGAGCCTCCTGCAGCCAGGGATGCTCTGGGGACACTGGGGGATGCTTTTGGGGTGCTGGGGGATGTTTTGGGGTGCTTGGGGATGCTTTTGGGGTGCTGGGGGATGCAGTGGGGGTGCTGGGGCCGCCTCGGTGGTGGCTGCTGGCTCCGGGGTGCTCTGGGTTCTGGCTGAGCTCATCTCAGCACCGAGAGCTGCTCACCCCCCCGGCCCCGCTCCCCGCAGGAGCCCTAAGCAGATCGGGGGTAAATTTTAGGGCAGGTGCCCCCCAGGCTGGGCTCTGCTCCCCCACAGACCTGCGGGGAAAGGCCTGGCTGAGTCCTCGGGCGTTTGTCTCAGCCCCAGGCAGGTGGGGAAACTGAGGCAGGGCGCAGGGACTAATCCCCCTCCAAAACCCAGAACTCCCCGGGTTCAGGCGATGCCGGGAGCCGTGTGGCTGATACGGGGGCAGCAGGAGCCCCGTGCCCAGCCCCAGCTCAGCCTCCCCGCTCGTGCCATCCCGAAAGAGAAATCTTTCCCCAGGCGCCTTCGCGCCTTACATCAAGTGGCTCCGCTTGGCCCACGGTTAATAATTCCCCTCGCCCTGGAAGATGGATGCTCCCGTCCCAAAAGAGCTTAAATATTCATGGGAAAGGAAGGGAAGGGAAAGGAAAAGGAGGCGAGGGCTGGTTCGGGGTGGGGGCAGCCTCCCTGCAGCCTCTGCAGCTGGTGACACCCCGCTGTGGCTGTGGGGGGGCTCCACAGGTACCCCCCCTTGCTGCCAGGGCTTTGTGTGGGTGCCGGCAGCACCCCGGTGTGGTTTTTGGGGCTGGCCCCGTGGCAGGCAGCCATCTCGGGGCGGAGCAGCACGCAGCGATGCTGCAGCTGCTTTTTGGTGAAAGAGGTGGCGGGGGGGGGGCTTGGCCGGGTGCTTTTTCCCCTGGGCACCCTCAGGAGGGGTGGATGGGGCCATCGCCGAACCCTAGGGCACCCTTTTGGCCCTGGCCATCAGGGGGTGCAGGGCTGGGGTGGGGACAAACAGCCCCAGCACCTGAATTCCCTCGTGGAAACGCCTCGGAGGGCTCCTTCCTCCCAGCTGGGGCTTCTGCAGGGGGAGCACGGTGATGCCACCCCCCCCTTTCACCCCCCCTTTCCCCTTTTATCCCCCTCCTTGCAGCTGATCCCAGCCGGCGGTGCCGGCGAGGCAGCGTCCGACCATGTTCAACGGGGACGCCGGCTCCTCCGCCGCCAGGAATGTCGTCCGCAGCTCCAGCATCAGCGGCGAGATGTACAGCCTGGAGAAGAGCGCGCGGGGCAGCGCCGACTCCGTCAGCATCATGGCCAGCAAGAAACGGCGCTCCAGCCTGGGTGCTAAGATGGTGGCGATCGTGGGGCTGGCGCAGTGGAGCAAGAGCACGCTGCAGCTCAACCAGAGCGGTGAGCTGGGGGGGTGTGCGCCCCACTGCCCCGGGATTTGTAATGTTTCTGGTTAAAATACCCCAAAAAAGCCCATCGTGAATCCCTCCCGGCTCAGCCGTGCTCCCCCAGGTGCCGAGGGGGTTTGCAGACCTGAGCTGGAGCTCGGGGTGGGCTGGCAGGGAGGGGATAAGTCGCAGAAAGGACTCATCAGGTGTTCTGACTGTGGGAAATACTTAAAATTTCAACAGGCAGGGGAAGCAAAAAGCTTGTTTTGGTGCAGGCTTTCCTCTGGTTACCGCTTTCTGTTCTGGCTCACGTTGGCATTTCGTGATTCAGGAGAGGAGTTAATTGGGAGCCCTCGGGCCCTGTACACCCGAGGTGTTACAGGAGGGCTGGAATCAGCCCCAGAAGCCCAGCCAGGCGTGCCAGTGGCCAGCAGGAGCCCACCTGGGGCCAGCAGGAGCCCACCTGGGGCCAGCAGGGCTGCACCTCCCCGGCCAGCAGAGCCCAATCCCTCTCTGAGCACGGCTCCAGAAACAAGACCCGTGCCAGCCTTCGTGCTTAAGTAGCATTTGCCAGTCCTTGGCCACTGCCCCTAGCCTTCCCCCATCACCTTAAAAGACCCGAGGCGGTTGGATTGATATAAAAACCAACAGCAGTGACCACAGCGACTTCCCACTCCACTGGAGGCACTCAGGGGTTTCGGGGACCGGCCTCGTGGCACCGCAGAGGGGACCAAGGGGGCTGCGCCGGTCCCGCAGCTGGAGGAACGCCAGAGCAGGGACTGGTGTTGGGGTTGGGGTGGGAGCTCAGCGCTCCCCTCATCCCGGGGCCGGGTGCTGGAATTGGGCCGGGGCTGGCCCAGTGCCCGGCAGCTTTTGGCAGCGCCGGGGAGCATCACAGCAGCGCTTGGCTGAACACATCCACAGGCAAACGCTGCACGAGAGGTGCCCAAATCTCTGCCCCACCCCGCACCCGGGTGTGCAGAGCTCCTATGGGGCAGCCCTAAATCAGCAGAAGTCAAACCTGACCCCCCCGGGCTGGCCGTGCTGTGGGACTGGTGCTTGCTGGTGGTGCCCGGGGGCTGCTCGGGCCACGCTCCTCCTGCTGACACGCGCCATCGCTGGCTCCCCGTGCTCACCCCACATCTCTGCGTGCAGAGGGAGGCCCCAAAAAGCTGCGCAGCAACATCCGGCGGAGCACCGAGACCGGCATCGCGGTGGAGATGAGGACCAGGGTCACCCGGCAAGGCAGCCGCGAGTCCACTGACGGCAGCACCAACAGCAACAGCTCCGACGGCACGTAAGGACCGGGCACACAGCCTGGGGTGCCGAGGGGGTCCTGGGGGCCTTTGGGGCACGTGCCCTGCACACGGTGGGGCTCCGTGGCAGCGCTCTGCTCCGTCCCACACAGGTTCATCTTCCCCACCACGCGGCTGGGCGCCGAGAGCCAGTTCAGTGACTTCCTCGACGGGCTGGGGCCGGGGCAGCTGGTGGGGCGGCAGACGCTGGCCACCCCCCCGATGGGTGAGTGCTGGGGGGATTGGGGGGGCGTCCGTGCTGCACCCGGGGCTGGGGCAAGGGGATGCTGAGGGTGCCACACGTGCACCAGCCCCAGGATCCCTCCCAGTAGCTCCCCTCGCTGCTAGGCTCATGCTGGGGCCGTGCATGGCTTGCAGCCACCCCCGTCCTGCTGCTGTTTCTGGCCAGTGCCAGCACCCCCACTGCTCCCAGGGCACCCCCAGGTGCCTGCCCCGTGTCCTGCCTGGGGACGGGGGGACCCTGCAGTTCCATGACCCAGTCCCACCAGCCCCCTGCCCCATTCCTGGTGGGGCAGGAGGGGAGGGAAGGGAAGGGGGCAGTTGGACCCCATTGGGCTGTCTCCAGGGGGTCACCGTGATGCCCGGCAGTGACCATGGCACACCAGTGCCCTGCACCATCACCTTGTTCCCCTCCCTGGCTCCTCGTGCAGCCCCAGGGCCGAGCCTGACCTGCTGTTGAAATGCTGAGTGTGTTTTGAGAACATCCAGGTTCGTCTCCCTGCCATTAAACCCTGCTGGGACATCAGCACGCCCCTTCCCTGTCCCCCCACTCCCTGGGGCCACAAGGCAGCGAGCGCCGGGGACGCGGCGGCTGCGGGAGATGCGTACGTACGAGCAGGACAGCGTAAGTGGGAGAGCAGCACCACCACCACGACCACCTCATGGGTGCCCCTTCGTGTTCCCTCCTCCTGCTGCTGCAGGGCAGGACCCCGGTGAGACCCCCGGGCAGCAGCTCCGTGCCCTTGCCCCAACGAGGAATTGGGCAGGAGGTGGCCGTCCCCTGTCCCTTTTAGCCACTCACACCCAGCTCTTTGGCTTTGTCCTTCCTCAAATCCTGTCAGGGGGATGCTCGGGGCGCTTTCAGCTGGGTGCTGAGGATTTGGGGGGCACCAGCACTGCCCCCCACTGGCTGGGGACAGGCAGCAGGGACCGTCCCAGCCCCGGGCTGCAGCTCGTCCCCGTGGGAGATGGAAATGGGGCGGGTGCTGAGCGCGTCCCTTCCCCTGGCCAGGCGACGTCCACGTGGGCATGGCCGACCGCAGCGGGCAGCTGGAGGTGGAGGTGATCCAGGCCAGGGGCCTCATCCCGAAGCTGGGCTCCAAATCCATCCCTGGTAGGTGGCTGGGGAGGGACGGGGAGGGAGCCGGCGCCGTGCCAGGGGGGCTCCGAGCCAGCGCTTCTCCCCCCTTCCCACCGCAGCCACCTACGTGAAGGTTTACCTGCTGGAGAACGGCGTCTGCCTGGCCAAGAAGAAGACCAAGGCGGTGAAGAAGACCTGCGACCCGTCCTTCCAGCAGGCCCTGCTCTTCGAGGAGAGCCCCCAGGGCAAAGTCCTGCAGGTGATGTCCTGGGGCATCCACAGGGCAGGGCGCACACACCCAGCACCCCCATCCCGACCCCGGACCCTAAGGGCGGCCCCACTAACGCCATCTCTGCCCCGCAGGTGATCGTGTGGGGTGACTACGGGCGCATGGACCACAAGTGCTTCATGGGGATGGCGCAGATCGTCTTGGAGGAGCTCGACCTCTCCAGCGTGGTGACGGGCTGGTACAAACTCTTCCCCACCTCCTCGCTGGCCGACTCCAGCATCGGGCCCCTGGCGCGCCGCCTCTCCCAGTCGTCCCTGGAGAGCTCCACCAGCCCCTCCTGCCCGTAGCGGCAGCTCGGAGCCAGAGGCCAGGCGGGGAAGGAGACGTCCTGACCTACCAAAACTGTCAGTGGATGGCTGTAAATATCCCATCCTCTTTTTTTTTGTTGTTTTTTTTTTCCTTTTTTTTTGGTTTCTTTAATCTCCTTCCCGAAGCAAACCTGCTCTCGGCACACTCCTCCCCGAGTGAGCGCCCCAGCGCGCAGGGAGCAGGGGCCGTGGGCATTGAGGTTGGGGGCAGCAAAGGCCCTCAGGGAGGGGAGCCGCAGCCCCCCATAGCCCCCCGGGGAGGACGGGCACAACACCGTGTTCCTCTCGGCCACAGCAGCCCGGTCCCGCTCATCCGGCACCACTGCAAGAAGTAGCATGACGCCTCGACTTCTTCTCCTCCGATTTCGTTTTCCTTGCCTCCGAGGAAAAGGGAGCTTTTCAAGGAAAGAAACTCAGAAAAAAAAAAATCCAACTCAGCACTACTGTTTTTTTTTTTTCTTCAAGGAATGTAGCATCTTCGATTATGTAGCTTGCCACGTGCTAACAACACACTCACTGCAATATCTGAGACTCGGCGCTGACGGATACATCTGCCAGACACTGCCCGTTTGTTCGTTTTCTGACACAAACCCTGCGACGCTGAGCAAGCCGTTCTGGTGACCATTTTTATTTTTATTTTATTTTTTAAATTTTGGTAGCGTTCAGCCTGTGACAGTGACATTGCCAAAGGGACAGAGCACGGACAAGGGCGCGCGCCACCCCACCAAGCACGGGCTGGGCTTGTCCTCGTGTTTCACCGCTCGCCGCCATCCCGCGTGGCCACGGCGAGCCCCAAAACATCGACTCTGCGCTGCCCGAGGTGGGTGCGGGAGCCCCGAGGGAGCAGGGACAGGGTGATGCTGGCTGAGCCGCTGCCTTCCAGCCCCTGCCTTCCTCCTCCGCCGCCCTCCTCCTCCTCCTCACACCTCCAGGGGGGTGCCGGGGGGTCCCGGCTCCCGGGCACGCTACAGGGGAACATCTCAACGGCGTCTTCTGCTGATCTGGAATTAGGGGGACTGAGAGGTTACGAACAAAAGGACTCGATGCTTTGAGTTCATTTTCAGGATGAGTGTTTTTTTTTTTTTTCTCTTTTTCTTTGTATGTTTTGTTTGTTTGTTTTTAAAGCAGCATTTTGGTTCCCCCGAGGGACCAGTTCTTGTAGCAAAACCGAGAATTACGGAAGCTTTTTTTGAAGGTGCCTAATGAAATTTGCTGAAACTACTCAGGGGAGACACCACTAGAAACTCTGGTTTCTTCGTAAGATACACTTCACACAATGACTGTCCTGAAGGGTCAGGTTCCAAAAGAGAGGGAAAAGAGCAGCAAACCACAACACACCAAAACACGAGCAGTCTTGAGACTGGAAGAGGACAAAAGGTTAATGGGGAATTTCTACTGCCCAGATGGCTCTGGCCTTCAGTCTTTAACACAAACCAACCCACAGCACAGTTGGGATTTTTTTTTTTAAACGATGATTTGTTGGCAAAGCAGAGGATTTCACAATGCACAGAGCACAACAAGAACAACCTGCAGTTCTCCCGGCGATGCTGGGAAGGACGAACCAGCTCGAACCCGTTGCCACGAAGGAACAAAACCAAACCCGAAGGAAAAGACTGTTGCAACGAAGCTGTCCCCTCACAAAACAGACCCGGGGGGGGCAGTGAAACCCCACTGCCCAGCAGCTGCTTCACCCCACACCCCGCTTCCAGCATCGCTGTGTCAAGGAACTCCAGCTGCTGTTGTGTATGTCAGATCTTTTACCAAACCACAACTGCTGCACACCCCCGAGGGCAGGCTGGGGGTGGCAAAGGGATGCCTCGAGACCCCAGGGCCCCCCCAGTCAAGCACTGAGCCCTCGCCTGGCACGGGGACGTGGCACAAGCTCGGTGCCCTGCTCGCTGGAGCAGGCATAAACAAGGGGTTTAAAGGAGGCCTTCCTCCTTGGAATTAACTTTTTGCTTTACCAGCTCGATTTTAGCAGAAAAAAAGAAGGAGGAGCCTGCCTCTCAGCACTGGGACACTAACCACGAGCACAGGGAATGGGGACAGCAGCACGGGCAAAGCTCTGCGGGGATTTTCTGCTCGCTGGTTTGGATACATCCCTGGATCTGTGGTTCTGCAGCGAGTTTTGGAGCCCTATTTCTCCCCTCCAGGCAGCACAGTGCTGCTGTTGAGATCCAGAAAAGCAGCTGAGGGAGCACAGAGCCAGCGGGTGCTGAGGTCCAGCAAAGGCTCCCCTGGTTCTGCGCCAGCCCCAAAAACCAAGCACGGCCGGCACTCGGAGAACCCAGCACCCAGACACAGCGCCTGAAAGGCACGGCCGGGTGCTCCAGGGAGCATGGAAAACCCAAATATTTTGGCTTCCTTTTTATCACTAAGGAATTGATAACGCCTTGGAGGATAACGGCACAGCCAGGATCAGAACAAACCGCTCCCCAATTCTCCCTCGGGGGTGGATTCCTGTCTGCTGCAAGGCGAGGGGCTCGTGGGGGCGATTCCTCGAGGTGCAGCCACCGTGCCAGCCACTTCAAGCACTTGCCATTATCACCAGACACCGAAACCCATCGAAACCTTAACTTCGCTCTCAGCACCGCGTGCCCGGTCCCCGCAGGGAGCTGGTGCTCACTTTTTGGGGAAGCCTCTGGGTCACGACCACCTCACGCTGGCACGGAGAAACGACAGAGGGGGAAGCAACCCAAGTGTTTACCCACGTTTACATTGCAGCGTCAGCTCCTTCTCATTTCTGACTGCATGAGCCGTGCATCTCCCCCTCAAACGAGAGCAGAACAGCCAAGTTACCCCACTGCTTTCTACACGAGGCACCAGGAAAACCACGAGGACTCAGGTTTTTTCTGGGGGAACGTTTCCTTGCAGAGGGCATTTTTGGTGTGCTATCCGATTGGCAAGAGGTGGCTGCACTAACCGGGCATCATGCATTAGATTGTTCCATCTCCTTCCTCCACCCAGAAAGGAAATTCAGGCCGTTCTACTTTGCAGATATTTTCCCCTAGAAAAAAAAAAAAGTGATTAATGTCAAACCAAGCGAGCTTTGCAGGCTGTTTTACACCCAGCACTCGCAGCAGCACCCACCTGAGACACAGATGATCTTTCTATAGCACAGCTGACGGGGCAGCTTACCCTGGTGTCGGAATCAAGGCGCCCTAGTTCAGTAACAAGGGTGGATTTTGCCAAAATAGCCTTGAACCGATGCTTAAACAACCCCTAAACTCCCATCAAGTCAGTCGCAGCCACGCAGCAAAGCACAGAAAACACCACAGGATTTCATGCCTAAGCTGTCCCTGGATTTTCTACCAGCCAGGGATGGGCTTCATTTGCCAAAATTGAGCGACTGAACATTTCCTAGGGCACCGGGCCAGGCTTTTGGGCACAGTCAGAAATTAGCTCCTGTTTCATCAGCTCCACAGCACGTTGAAAGGATGCTTGGGCACGGAGCTGTCCCGAAACCCAGTGAGATACAGAACCAGTGAGCTTACCCGCAGTAACCAACCCCATCAGGTGGCTTCGGAAAATGCCACAAAGCAACAGAGGTGGTGGGAAGCGTTCCCTCCACAGCCACCTTTCCCACCCCTTAAAACCTTTCCTGCAGAAGCAGTTGAAGCATAGCACCGGGCTGCAAGCAGGAGGCCAGAAACTCCTGCAGGAGCGGGGCCAGGACTGCCCCTGCTGATAGGGAATTATTCCTGCTCAGCTCCTTACGAGACTGCCCTCGGCAGCACCACGCTTCACTCCGAGTCTCGTATTTGTGTGCGTGAGGTTAACGTGCTTAAAAACCTGTGCTTGTTTCAGTTGGCTTGGAAATCCCTAGCAGCAGCGTGCGATGTAAGGGGCTTTACTGCTCCAAGGCCCTTTATAAAACAGCCCTGGTGATGATTTAAGGGGAAAAGAGCCCACCTATTTTCTTCCCGTTGACTCGGACACTCCTTCCCAGATTGATGTGAAACGCTTGGACGATGCACATCTGTAAACTTCCTTCAGGGTGTGCGTTTGGTTACTGATTTGGAAAATAACTGCACTTTAAAGGTCAAGGAACAGCGCTCGGGCACCGTGCTTCTCGGTGGCTGAGTCCGAAGCCTGAAAGTGTTTTGCATCAGGGCTGGAAACAGATATTAAGAGCTCGCTCTGCTTTCCTTTAGGTTTTCATGCCTCTAGACAGATTTCTAAAATTACCTTCTGCAAAAGCAAGGTTCGCATCCCATGACGTGCCAAAGGCATGACGGCCCCTTCCACTGTTCCTTTAGCGGAGCTGTTTCAACTGGAAGTCTTCCTCCTACACCGTGTTCACGAGCATGGGGAGCACCCCCACGGGCTGCTGGTGAGAGGTGCGAGAGGTGTTCAGGAGCTAAAAAGGCTGCAGAAACGGCTGCCTAGGGAAAACAAACCATCTGCAAGGAGCACGTTCTGGAACCGAGGGGTTACGCAGAACAGACGGAGCGAGCGGCTGTGATAACGCCCCGCCTAGGCGGTCACCTTAGCTGAGCTCGTCCGTATTTCCTGAGGATTTAGGTTTTTAAAAAGGCAGAAAATGTACAGTAAAGGGCCTAAGTGTTTGTCTCGCTGTCTGAATAACCGCCACACTGTTAAACCCCCGATCGTCTGCCCCGGGCACAGCCTGGCTGGAGCGCTGATTATCGGTATACCTCATTTGGTTCTTTTTTCCTGTTTTTTTTTTTTTTTTCTCCTCCTTTTCCCTCTTTAAGAACCAGAGCTTAGTGCACTCTATCACATTCAGGTTATTTTTTTTTGTTGTTGTAATTGTGCAATGAAGAGCAATTGTTTTGGGTGTGCTTTTACCACCTGCTCCCATGCTGGCTCCGGCCCCTGCTTCGTTGAGCACTTGCACTACTGACGGCTGAGCTGGAGGGCAGCGAGGCCAGGAGCCGGGGCGCTTCTCTGGAGGGAGGGATGGTGTGGCAGGGCAGCAGGCACCTCGTGGTCTCTCCTGTTAAAAAGCAGGTGGATAAACAGCGCCCAAAGGCTACCCCTTAGCCTGACACAAGGGCATTCCAGTCCTGCACCTCCCAAAAAAAGGGTCAGCAACGAGGTGAGCAGCTCAGATGCAAGGAGCTGAGGACAGCGCCCTCAACTCCCTCTGGAGGCTTTTTCCTGGAGAAGAAGCCTCAGGAGCACACAAAAAAAAGGGTGAAGAAAGGCATTGCATGGCAATTGCCATCTGTAGAGCTGCTGAATCCTGGTGCTGGCCAAAAAAAGGGATGTTTGCCCTGACACATGCAGTGAGAGCCACGAAGCTGTGCCTGCTGTCGGGTCTGGGGGCAGCAGCGCTCCCCTCCTCGAAGCAAGTGGCCAGGGCTCCTGGCAGCGGATGCCTGGTGAACGTTAGCACTTTGAAGTTGGTGGCCTTGTTTTCTTAAAGGGCTTGATCTTTTCGTGCAGTTAGAACTAAATCTTCCCCATCATGTTGTCCTATTCCCCACCTCAAAATTTAAATGAGCAAGCACCTGGGCCGTTTAGAAGTTTGTCCAGGACTCAAGAATCTGTCATTGATCTCAGAAGTTTATACCTCAAATATAAAAACAAGCGTATACATCCAGCTTAATAACAAATTAAAGTAGCAGCTCCAAGGTTGAACTGCAGTTTATCCTTGAATCTGATCACTAGCAGCAACAGGAAAAAAAAAAACACAGAAAACCAAACCCACTTAAGCACACAAAAAGCACCAAGTTTTTAGAAGCACCTGAACTGAAACGTTCATTCTATGAGAAAAACTCAATTTCTATTTCCAAACTACAAGACGTGAAGGATTTTGCCTGTACCTTAAGCCTCTTACACACAGCCTATGCCTTTCTAACTTTGTTGGCCCCATACAAAGTAGGACAGCAGAGCAGTTAGCAAGGTGCACCAACAAATAATTCACGCAGAAGGGTCCAAGATCGTTAAAGGTACGAGGCAATGAGATGCACCCGAGACTTCTCAGCCAGCCACTGCTAACCAGAGCCTTTTCTCTCCAGGTAGCTTGCTTCAAAAGGCTAAGAGGAGCATCCTGACCAGGGTGCATCCAACCATACACGCACACAAACCTACGCTACTTCCCATTTTTCACTCCTAAAGTACCCAACAAACTGCATTGGGAAGAATTACCCAAACCAAGAGAGATGGATCAGACTGGAGAGCTGTCAGAACACCATTAGCCACGGGTTAATTGCTACTACGAGCTTAGCTTCCAACCTCAGACAGAGCAGGTAGCAGACATCTCCCCCTCTGCGCGGCAGCCGCGGGTCTCTACCAGGACCTAAGAGGCCAAGGAGAGGTAGGTGCAGAACTCACAGTACTCACCCTGGGTAGCTTTTCACTTTTGGAAGTCAGGATGTAATTGCATTAGTGAACAGATCTGGCTGCCTTCACTAATCCACTCATTTTGTAGTAAACTTTGCTTTGATGACAGATTCATAAGTTTAACAACTCCACCTTGAAATAAATGCCACCGAGGGGTGAACCAGGGGCTTCTCTACGCCCCAGTTCCGTATTCCAGACAAGGGGATGGGCTTGTGATGGATACTTGAGAATGGTTATAGATTTAAAAAAAAAAGCAAATGGCAATTTTATACTTGTGTTATGTAATGTTTTATATGTGCGTGGTCTTTCTTAATGTAAAACTCTTGTATTTTTGTGGTTTATATGCAGCAGGACTGATGGCTGTGAGGGTGCACGCTATTTTGTAAAATATTCTTAGCCAGTTTTCCCAAGGAGGAACAAACTGAAGTATTCACATTTTCATTGGCTTGTACCTGCATGTACAGTACTGGGGCAGCAAGTGAAGATGATTAAAGCCAGCTTGAAAACAACTTCTGGCCCTGAGTTGAGCTTCACAAAGCGTCCAGCCGCAAACCGTGTGTAGCTTAGAGCCAACCCTCTCCCCCAGAAAAGAGATGTTAGAGGATGAAACCCTCTTTTCTGAGGGATCAGACTTCTTTCCCACCTGAAGAGAACAGTTTTTGCTGGAGGAAAGAAATACCATAATTAATAGGCACCATAATTAATATGCAAGCAGAGTAACATCAGCTCAAAGCTCACACAAATCAAACTCACCCCTGCAGCTGCGCACAGCCCCCCACAGCCCTAGGAAAACTGCCCTTCCTGTCTTCTTTATGTGACCCCAAATCCCCGCAACCCTCTCTCTGAAAGCTTACAGTGTACCTTTTGGATAGACCTTGGTCAGCTTTTATTGAACGTCAGCGTGGAGCTGCAGTTCTCCCATTCCTCCCAGCTGCAGGAATGCTGCATCCACCCGCACCCCTGCGCTGCAGGTTTCTGTTGTATATAAAGCTGTCAACTGACCTGATTTCGCCCCTGCTGAGCCTGGTTCTTTGCAGGCAGCCTCAGCTTTCAGGCAAACACCGTTCTTGCCTGACATTTGGGACGCAGCCCTGCTACAAAGCAGATGGAGCTCGTCCGATTTGGATGGAAGGCTCCCAGTCCCGACACCTGAAGTGAACAACTCGCACCAGGGAGAGCAGCATTCAGCACAATCTGTCGGGCTGTTTGAAAAACAAGACAAGTCAGCTGAGGTTTCACTGCAATATTTTATTTGGGAATTTACATATACACAGGAGAGAGGAGACCGCAGAAGTCTGACTTCTTGCTCACGCTGATGAGTTTAAGCAGTTGTGTTCTACTGAAGATGAGGAAAGAAATCTGACCCACCCACTTTTTATGCCTAGATTAAAATGTCTAAAGCTAGCTGGGAAGGGGTACCGGGGTTACACAAGAACAAAAAAAATATGAAAAAAGTATAAATTAGGATGTCATAGTCATTTTAAAAGTGTAAGAAAACTTGCAGCGGGCTCTCAGCCCTTGATAAGTTAACTCTCAGTTAGTTCGTTAAAAGTTAAATACATCGATACCACAGATTAGACAGAAAAGCCACTCTGAAGTGCAAGTTTCACATTCCAAACAGCTTGCCCCCACACTGTGCGAGAATCCTGCTTGCTCATGGGGGGAGGGAGAGGGGTCTTCAAAATGACTTTGGTTCCAATGAGGGTTGGCGAGCCAAGCACAGCAAGGCCTCAGCTCCAGAGAACGCTGCTCGAGGGAAGAGGTAGCAAGGCTTGCTTGCCCCGGGCTTGGGTTAAAATCCAGTTCCTCAGCACCAAACAGGGTTTCCACCCCTCTGCTAACCAAAACCCCTACTAATACTAGAGTTTAAGTGGTTCTTAAAAGGCCTGAAATTACAGGCAGTATTATTATAAGTACAGATTTCCCACGTTCCTCAGTCACACCTCTGCTAAGACCCCAGGACATTAAGTGCTACCCAGAAGCATTAGTGGAGGTTTGTGCAAGGAGGGGGGTCCACCCCAGAAGTGTGCATTGACTGTGCTAAATACAGGGGAGCTCATGTTCTGGTCACTGAGGTTTCACCGTGTCTGACAGTGAAAAGGCAGAGATGGGTCTCAGTTATGGAAAGAGGTTCGGGCTGGGCAGCCAGCCAGAAAGAAAAACCCTGAATGTCTCATGGAGCAGTTTTGAAGAACAGAACAGAAGGCAAAAATGGTCACAACGCACGGGATCATTTCCACATCTGAGTGCTGAGGGACTGATTGCTTCCCTGGGCACCTCCTCCACCCATCGACTGTCCATAGCCCATCATACCATTAGCTCCATAGAAGTTCATCCCAGCCATCTGCTGGGTCATCTGCAGAGGGGAGAAGAGAAGAAAGTCAGGGCTATGCCAGGGAAAACGTGCCAGCCCACGGCAGTCAGCTACAGTAAAACTCTTCCTCCCCGACACATTAGCCTTTAAGCAAATCCTCATAAAAAGTTACAGTGCACAGACTTAAACAAGGCAATAAAGCTTCATTTAAGGATACCCTAAAGGTTAAAGTCCTCTACAGTCAACCCCAAGTTAGACTTACAAAAGCAGACTCCACTCACACACCTTTCATCTTATTATAGAATCCAAGGCACTGCCGAAACATGGTGTGTGCTCTTATCTGACCTTTCTCTGCCATGCTAAGCAGCCTCTTAGAGGAACATGAATCACCTGGTACTAGCACTAGTAGCACTCCTGATTCACAACAGGGTTTTATAGCACCCCCTGCTATACCTCAAATCAGCCTGCGAGTCCCCAGCCCAGCTCCTTCAGCTCAAGGCACAGGACACAGATGCAGCCTGATGCTACTGCATGAACACAAACCTCTGTCACTCAGCTCACATGAAGCTCTGATTTATATATAGGACACTAGTTTTGTCTACAAACCTGCTATTTAGCCCCATCTCTCCTCAAACATTTACATGAAGGGAGAGCCAAGGTTTTGTTTCCCATTTATCCCCATAAAAATGAGGATCACTACCCTACCTAGCAACTTCCCAGGTGCGTGCCCATCTATCAAGCTGAGGAATTTCTCCTTTCAGCTGATGTTACACTGAATCTTGGTGGTCTCCAGGTTCTTGGTGGAGACCAAACAAGTTACTGCTTTTAGATCCCTGCCAGCAGCACCAGCATGCCTCACCCAACCCCAGGAGACAGCCTCTAAGAACACAAGGGACAGGAGCTTACTGCCTGTGCCTCCCCTGCCCTCCATCCACCCTCGGGTCAGCAGCAGATCCCCCCTCACCTGAGTGATGTTCCACTGAAGCTGCTGCGCTGGCTGCACACCGTAGACAGGTTGGGGAACCGCTGCCATAGCCAGGCCACATAGCCAGCCTGCTGCGCAGCCATCATCCCGTTGGGGACACCGATGACAGCCGCCTGCACGTTGCCCACGTACCCAGCTGGGATGGCCATGGGGGTCACCATCCCCGCAGCCCCAGGCTGGGCCATCATGCCCACCGAGGGGGCCATCATGCCTCCCATCATGCTGCTGGAAGGAGCCACTCCTGGGAAGCCCGTGTAAGCTGCTGGGGGGTACGCCATCTGAGCCGGGGCCATGAACATTGCTCCTGAAAAAGGAGGAATAAAACAAAAGGGAAGGAGTGTTATTGCGCTCACTGTTGGGGCTGAAACGCTGACCTTCAAATCAAAGCCTGCCGCAACGCTCGCTCGGCCGTGACATCCAGGCTACGCAGCTCGTTATGCTCCTCACCAGCTCTCAAGGACCACCTACACTCCCACATCCCTGCTTGTCAGCTATCAGGACACCCCCACCCACTCTGAATTAGTGTGCTGCTCTATTCTGAGATCTGTTACCTTGCGCGGGCAGCTGAGGTGTTTGAGAGCCGTACAGGGAGAGGATAGAGTCTTTAGAGAGCTGCTTCTTCCCCACTTCATCCCCTTTGCCTCCTGGCTCGGGGAAGAGGTTCAGGTTTTCAGGAACAGAACCAGCACTTCCAGAGGTTGGCATAGAACCAGTGACCTGAGAAAGAGACAGCACAAATGAATCAGCTGCCTTCAGCACTGCAGGAAGGTGGAGATCACTGTGGGAAGGTGGAGATCACTGTCTCCTCACTCAAGCATCTCTTTGGCAAACACTGATGCTCCTTGCTTACCTTCCTGGAGTCAGAGTTCGATGCCACCGATGCAAAAAGATCAAGATCCTTCTCTAAGCTGCTCGGCCTGCCATTTGTAAGGGTGCTTGTCACAGGAGCATCTGGGAGAGAGAAAGCTGTGATGGACGGGCACGCAGATGGCCTCAGGCTGAGGGGCAGCCTCCTTGCCAATGAAGCAGTTTGCACATATGCCACTCAACCCAGTGACCTGACCTGTAACCTACTTCAGCCAGCACACTGCCAGCTCTTCACTCTCCCTTCTGGTGAAGGGAAGGAACTGGCTTAGGACCAAGGAAGCACACTGTGCCATATCTGTCCCATTAACCTCAGAGTAGCCAGGAGCCACATGATGTCTGGAGACCATTAAGTGCTCCTGTAATACTACAGCCACTGCACCAGCAAAAAGGAAAAGAGATGTTTCTGCTGCAGTGACCAGAGAGGGAAATAAAGTACTCAAAGTTCACTACATTCACAAGACCAAAGATAGAACATGGGGGCAATTTAACAAGTGCAATAGTGCTGGAGAGGCTCTTACCAAGTCCTAGCAAGTCCATTACTGGTTCAGAAGACTTAGGAGAACTCTTTCTAGACTGCTGTGTTTCTTCTTTCTTTTGAGGCTAGGGAAAGAACACCGGAAGTCTTGTTCAAGTCTTGTTTTTACTCTGATATATCAGAGGCTTTAATGAGAGATTAAACCCCTTAAAAATCCTTTTCCCAGTGGACATAAGTGCTTTGAAAAGTGAACAGAAATTCAGAGCAAGTATTCCACAATTGTTTTACTGTCCTGTTATATCGGAACCCATCGACAAATTTAAGCATGCTCTAAACTAGGAAAAATAACAGCTCAAGTTAAAAAGCTAAGCAGGGAGTAGCTGGATTCCAATCTGCTCTGCACTGCAAGGCAGAGCACATCTGCTCAGTATCTGTCTGAGCAGTGGAAAACAAGCTACTACCATTAGTGTGACTCAATGCATCCACTGCTATGACTGAGGCCTGAAAAAATGCTTCCATATGAAGCTGGAATACCTCCGTCCTGCTCAAGAGAAGTCTTTACAATTGATCGATGGCCATGGCTTCTGGTCTTACCATTTTCACCTTCTCAAAGATGATAGGTTCCAGTTTTCTTTCTGATACTGGCTCATTACTCTTTTTCCATTTGTCATCCTTCTCTTTCTGTAAAGGAAAGCACTGACATGAGGTCAAAGCTCACATCACGCAGTAAGAACGATAGATCTTTGTGTGCTGTTACTAACCCAAAAAGCCTCAATCTTTGGTCATTTCAAACTCGTAGCAAGCTACCCATCCAACAGCACAGATATACAGCTGAAGACCTACATTAGAAATCAGTGGTGCTCTGACC